GCGCGCGCGGGGGGGGGGGGGGGGAAGCCTGCACTTCCTTCCAGGGTGCTATCCTCTGTTCGGACTGGAGGGAAGGACCATCAGAGGTTTTGATCACCCTTCTCCCTCCCCTCTGCCCGGGGGTGTGTGTGTGTGTCCAGCCGAGGAGCTGAAAGGAGAGCAGAGGGAAACAGGAAACCCAGGAATATGGTTTTTGGAAGGGGCGGGGGGCAGGGGCTGTGTCCGGCCCTTCGGAGCTGCCCTGCAGCCAAGAGATGGAACACCGCCAGGCCAACCTCCGAAGACTCCCACCACAATCCAATAGCCAAAGAACTCTGCAGCCTTTTGAAGGTTCATCTTCCTGGAGCAACCACGTGCAGCCAAGTCACCTCCAACCCACAGTGACCCAAGGAACAAGTGACCCCTCAAATGTCGTACCCTCGGCACAGATGGCATTGTTTCCTCCCGCCCTTGCCCCCACCTTAGTTGTTGTGCCGAAGATGGGGGGATCCAAGGGGTCCCTTATTCTAACACCAACTTGCATCTACCAGGGCGAATATTCTCTTTTATATCCAGCCAAAAGATCCAAAGGATCTCCTGGATGGAGAATGAGTGTGGGGAAAGCGCACCAGAGGGAGACCACAGCTGCGATACAAAGATATCTGCCAGTGAGATCTGAAGGCCTTAGGAATGGATCTCAACAGATGGGAAATCCTGACATCTGAGCGTTCAGCCTGGAGGCAGGCGGTGCCTTACAGCCTCTCCCAATTTGAAGAGACCCTTGTCCAGCAGGCTGAGGCAGAGGCAGTCACGAAAGCAGCAAAACCAGGGAGCTGGACAGGGGACAGACTGGATTTGTCTTCAGTGTGGAAGGGATGGTCACTCTCGAATTGGCCTTCTCAGCCACACCAGACGCTGTTCCAAGACCTCCATTCAGAGCATGTTACTCCAGCCGCTTGAGACTGAAGGATGCCTAATCTAAATCTACTACTATTATTACAGTAGAACCCCCTCACACACACACTATAGGACCAGCAACTGCAGATTTACTTATCTGCTCTTTGGAAAATATTTAATTATTTATTTAATAACACCCATCCAGCCAAAAATACACATTTACTGTATATGTATTTCCATGATGTATTTACCAGAATTGGTCACTTGAGGGAGATAGAGACCATGTTATATATTGTGTTCAATAGTTCCACATTTCTTGGCATCCGCAGACCCCCTGTGTCTATATACCATTCCATAGTGCTGAAGTGCTCTCTTGGCGGCTTACAGTTTAATTGTGCAGGCTACATATTGCCTCCCCCGCCCCAAGTAAGCAGAGCATGACCTTGGAAGAATGGCAGGCTGACTCAGCCTCGAGCCAGTTCTCTGAACCATGAAATCCAAAAGGCCAGAGAGCAGTTTTGCTTAAAAATTACTCTCTTCATCCAATTTCCAACTCTGTGTCCCTCCAAGGTCCAAATACTGTAGAAGCCATTTGCGTAGGTTCTGCACACACAGCTTTTCTTCAGTCTGTGTCTAGGGCAGCCACAACAAAGGGAATCGTTGTCGTTTAGTCATGTCCGACTCTTCGTGACCCCATGGACCAGAGCACGCCAGGACCTCCTATCCTCCACTGCCCCCCGGAGTTGTGTCAAATTCATGTTGGTTGCTTCACAGACACTGTCCAGCCATCTCATCCTCTGTCATCCCCTTCTCCTCTTGCCGTCGCACTTTCCCAACATCAAGGTCTTTTCCAGGGAGTCTTCTCTTCTCATGAGATGGCCAAAGTCTTGGAGCCTCAACTTCAGGATCTGTCCTTCCAATGAGCTGGTCCAGCTCTCACTTCCATACATGGCTACTGGAAAAACCATAGCTTTGACTATTCGGACTTTTATTGGCAAGGTGATGTCTCTGCTTTTTAAGATGCTATCAAGGTTTGTCATCACTTTCCTCCCAAGAAGCAGGCGTCTTTTAATTTCATGGCTGCTTTCTCCATCTGCAGTGATCATGGAGCCCAAAAAAGTAAAATCTGTTACCGCCTCCATATCTTCCCCTTCTATTTCCCAGGAGGTGATGGGACCAGTGGCCATGATCTTAGTTTTTTTGAGTTTCATACCGTTTTTTTGCATTCTCCTCTTTCTCTGTGTGTATGTGTTTGTATGATTGTGTGTGTGTAAGGGGGGACAGCCAGGAGGAAGAAGGGGCTGCAGGGGTGTGTGTGGGTCTCACTCTCAAGTTCCCCGGCTCCAACAGAGCGACTTCAAATCCTACTCCTGACACCAGTTTGTTATGTACCTTAAAGAAGCACACAACTTGAAAGAATACAGCAAGCGTTTATTTCACGTTTGCAGGCATGGAGAGAGCAAGACCTGGCAGGTTGTCGTCTCTAAAGTTCTTCCAAGTAAACACATCTTATATGCCCCACGCAATTGTCCCTCTCTATCCCTCTGGCCAATGGGCCAAAGGCGGAAGGCTTACATTCTGTCTGCCATGTCGCAACAGTTAGCATATACCTAATCTTCTTTTCTTCACCCGCTGCTGGAGTTACTATGCCACCCTTATCTATCGCTCAATTGTGCTCGTGTGTCTTGAAAAACCAAGAAAACTGCCTATGCCATGTTATTCTCTATCAACCTGACACTTGCCACCTTCTCCTGCCTTGATGCAGAATCACAGAAGCCCTGGAGTGGGAACATTTTGGGGAGGAGGGGTAGCCGGTCCTTTCTGACCCCCCCACTTCAAGAACCCTTTTGTTTCCATGGGAGGTTGTGCGATGCTAACTTCTAGCACAACCCCATCCAACGGCCAGAGGAGATGCTGCTGCCTCCGTTCTTCTTTGGCTTAATCTAGCTGAGCCCCTGCAGCCCATCCTTGTCGCCACCCTTGAACAACCCGCACGGATTTTTCCATATCGGAGAAGCTTCCTCCGGTTCCTTTGGCCCTCCTTTATAGCTTCACATCCCAGGCAGGACTGAGCTAGGTGGAGGCGGCTCTTTCTGCTGGAGATCTCCAGCGATTGAAGGGCTTTGTGGCCTTTGACCGGAGGCTCAGGAGGCTTTGACTGGCTGGGGGGGCAGGGGGGCTTTCCAGTGTCCCACAGACCTTCCTTGGCCAGTCCTTTCCTGCTGATGTCATCCTGGTTCCTTCCACTGCACTTCAGCCCTCCTTCCAGCAACCGGCGAGCCCCTTTCTCTCTTCCCTGGGGACATCATCCGCAGCTCGGGGGTTTATGCTCCCGGCTGCAAAGCCAGAGGTGGCGAATTCAGTTCCCCGCTGTGCCTCGCTGGGAGAAGAGCCAGCCTGGGTGGCCTTGGAAGAGCTGCCCATGGGAAATGGGAACACCTCTTGAGTGTTTTCTACCTTTGTTGTTGTTGTTTAGTCTTTAAGTCGTGCCTGATTCTTCGTGACCCCATGGACCAGAGAGCACACCAGGCCCTCCTGTCTTCCACTGCCTCCCGGAGTTGTGTCAGATTCATGTTGGTCGCTTCAATGACCCTGTCCAACCATCTCGTCCTCGGTCGTCCCCTTCTCCTCTTGCCTTCACCCTTTCCCAACATTAGGGTCTTTTCCAGGGAGTTTTTCTACCTAGAAAACCCAGAAAAAGTGTTGCCTTAAAAGCCACAACAGGCTGGATGGCACACAACGATGGTAAGGATGATGATTTAAATTAACTTTGCTCTGGTGCTTAGCTGGTTCTGACCAGACGGGAGTACTTCGTATATGTTATATCAAAAACCCCTATCTATCAGTGAGGATGATGATTTAACTTAACTTTGCACTGGTGCTTAGCTGGTTCTGACCAGACGGGTGCAAAATAATGGTTGACCATGGCCAAAGGCCAGTGCCTGAGTCTGAAGGGGTCAAGGATCCATTTTACCGCTCCTGATAGGCACAGGCTGCTGACACCACGATCCTTGCTTTTAGCTTCAAATATTGGCCTTTCAGTGATGTCTAAGTCTAAGCCCTGGTGAGTCCTTGTTAGGCAGAAAGGCGAGGAAGAATATTTTGAAAGATAAGGAAATAAATTGTGCCTGTAAATCTAAAAGTTGCTGTGAACTGATTACTGAAGATTATTATGAGAGGCTTTCTCAGTTTCTTTTTCTTCTTCACTTTCCTCAAGTATTAAATATTAGTATTTGCAACCTGCAAATGCCCCCTTTTCAACCCCCCCCACTTCGTTAACCTGTATATTCATTTTAATGCAATGTTCCAAGTGCCATGGGATCCAATACTTTGTACTTAAAATGTGGACTAAATAAACTGTCGAAAATATGCACAGTATTCAAATTAATAGTGGCGCCGGAGTGACGTCACCGGACTCCCGTCCCACTAGGTTCTCCACATCTGCGCATGCCCAGAAGCCGGGTCTTCCAGGAGCTGTTCTAAGCATGCGCCACTTCTACGCTACTTTAAGTCCCCGCCCCTTGTAGGCGTGGCTTCCCCGGTTCCTTTCTGGAAGGCTCCGCCTTGAGAAATCACCGCCTTTGCCCCTGGCTTTTCCTGATTGGTCCCAAGCCTTGAAATCCGCGAGAGGTCCCGACCGCTGATTGGTTTCTGGAATCAAGCAGCAGCCGCTCCTGATTGGTCCCTTTTGTTTTGTTTTTGCATGACGCGACGATGACCTGCAAAAGCGCCGGCTGCTGGTTGGCGCGTGGGTTAGACCTGAGACTCCGCTCCTTACCCTGGCCCGGTAGCCAAGGTAACAGTCCAAGCGGCGCGCGGCGGTTGGAGGAAGGCTACGTCCTTCTTTGCCTCTCCGATTTCTGATTGGCCGATGCTAGGGAGCAGGAGGCGGGAGCTGGGAGAGCGAGCGAGAGGAAGCGTGCCGGAAGCCTCGAAAGGGCACTTCCGGTGCTGATGTGGCCGGAACCCAGAGGGGGCGCGAGCTGAGAAGAGGTGAGCCTCGGTCGGGACCGGGAAGGCCCGCCGGTCTTTTGTGTGTGTGTGTGTTTGTGTAGGGGGGGCATGCCCCTTCCTTTGGGAGACGCAGGTAGAAGTTCGTCCGGGCCAGCGCCTCCCGGTATGCGGCGCTACTCCTGTTGGACTTCAGCCTGCAAGGAGAGGCCTGAGAAGGGCAGAGCGTTGGAGGGGAGCCGTGCCCCAATGGGTCCCTCGGAGCCCGGCCTTCCTTGCCTGTTCCCCTGGCCCGGAGCCCCCCCTCTCCTAAGACCTCTCCCCCCCNCGGGGCTCTCCCTGCGGTCTTCCAGGCAGCGGGTCAAAGGAATGGGTGTGGACTACAGGTCCCAGAATCCCCCAGCCTGCGGGGAAGGCGGCTTGGAGGGAGTTGTCGTCCTCGAGGTCTGGACCGCGGACGTTCTCTCTCTGTGTGGATGTGTGTGTGTTCAACTCTTAGTCCCTCTGGAGGGGGCCCGAGGCAACAAGCCCCCCCCCCGCGTGCCTTGCCTCTAAAGGACCTGTCAATGGGAAGACCTCCCCCCCTCGTTGCTTGCCCTGCAGAAAGCCCTGTCACGTCCTCAGGCGCTTGCAAATCTCATCCGTTCCAGTCCTGTCGCTTTCCTGCCTCTGTGCAAGCATTATAGGCAAACACACGATAATAATAGCAAGAACAACAACCTTTGGAGGGCAGTGCTGAAAGAGTCTCTCCCTCGCAAGGAGGCCCAGAACTGCCAACCACACAAAAACCATTGAGCTATCCAGCAGTTCATTGAGGATCATCATCATCTTAGAACGGCAGGGCTGGAAGGATTGTCAAGTTGTCTAGGAGGCGCCAGGTGTGTGTGTGTGGAATTGAACTCCCAGCCTCTGGCTCTGCGCTAAACCCCTGAGCTCTCCAGCTTTTATTTATATGTATTATGCATTATTTCTATTTGTTTTTACCTATAATGCTTGCACAAACTGACGCGGCGGCTGCCCCTCCTGCCACTGTTCCTACATTGGCTCCTGTCTTTTGGAGCAGCCTGAGATTAATCCAAAGGTGAGCCCTGCGGAGAGAAGTTCCATGAAATTATTGGGACTCAGGATAGTTGTGGCTGATGAATCCAGGTTATTTCAGTGTACTTAAAGCCTGCTCTGAGCAGGGCTGACCTTGCCTTTAGCCCTTGGTCAGTAGGGGATGTCTGCCCCTTTTCCGACCATACCTTTTGATCAAGGCAGAGTGGGTTGGCAAGACGGTTGGCTGCACCACCTGGCCTTGGGTGCTGGATCGCTGCCCAACGCATTCCTTCTGTCAGTCCAACGACTGCCCACCCCATTATTGACTGTTACTCTTTGAAATGCAGCTTCATTTTTTCCTCCAGCTCTTCCTCGTTTTGTACACATTGGTCGTCTTCTGCACCATCCTCTTTCCTGCCAATACCTCCCTTTCCACTAGCATTGCCTTTGTGCGCAGTTGGAAAGCTTTACTAGGGCTACTTTTTCTGCTGGGGCAACAACCCCTGCCTGAATGCAGGATGCAAAATCAGTGGAAAAATACATGACAGTAAGAGTTGAGCAGAACCAATTCTTGGGTCCACCAGAACCACTCTGAAATAACAGCTCTCGTTTGATGTTGGAAGCTAAGGAGGGATGGGTCTGGTTAGGACGCGGATGGGAGGCTGTAAGGCAACCCTGTGGATCTCCAGTGAGGGCTAAGAAATAATCCGGAACCCCAGAGAGCCATTCCTGCCAGTCAGACAGGTTGATTTAGGAAGCTATAGGAAGTGTAGGCCCTGCTTAGCTTCTAAGCAAGTTTAAGGTCTGCTTGTCTGTGGTGAACCACGTCTACTCCAGCTGGTTAGCACTGGGCCAGATGGACCAAGGGTTTGAGTCCTTGCAGGGCGGGTTCCTCTTTTGTTCAGTTTTGTAATCTCCCTTTGCACGCTTAGTGTAAAGTAGACGGCAGCTGTCTCTGATGAAGTGACATCTTAGTTGCTTTGACACTGGAATGAAGTTAGCTATGTTGATTACAAGTATTCTGACCGAGCAGAAGTAGGTGCCTCAGGGTTATGAAGCAGTCTTCTCCAGAGAAAGGCTGAGGCACAGTGCCCCAAGGAACCTCTGTTTGGGTTGCCAGCCAGGTGTGCTGTCGATTCATCCTCACGGCTTAGCTGACTGCAGGAGTGCTTTGCGCAAGATGGTTTATGTTTGCTGATGCCAGTCATGTCTTTGTGGGCTCTCTTATGAGACAAATAAAGATACATTCGTTTCTTCACATGCATGTTTTCTGCTGGGCTGAAGTGATATCTGTGCAGGAAAAGCATAGTTCCTTCTAGCTTGATGAAAGGTGGAGCTGTAATCATAATTGCCACAAGGCACTCTCAGCTGTAGATTTTGCCATACCTTGCCAGTAAACAGACCCTCCCTTGGTTCATAGAATCATGAAGTTGGAAGGGGCCTCTAAGGCCATTGAGTCGAATCCCCTGCTCAGTGCAGGGATTTAGATTGCAGGATATCTGCCAGGCGGTTGTCTACATTTCTCTGGAATGCCTCCAGCGCTGGAGCTCTCACCACCTCCCCCTGAGGGCAAGGGTTCCCTTATTGTACTGCTCTAACAGTTAGGAAGTTTTTCCTGATGTTCAACAAAAATCTGGCTTCCTGTCACTTGAGCCCATTGAACTCTGCAATGTAAGGACACATGTTTTAGTGGAGAAGAAGACTCCCAATTCTTGGTGGCTATATATGACCACCCGCGGGGGCTCTTGCGCTTATGGGCTTGCTTTGTAGCTGTGATCCATAGCCCATTGAACTCTGCAATGTAAAGGCACATATTTTAGTGGAGAAGAAGACTACCAATTCTTGGTGGCTATATATGACCACCTGCAGGGGCTCTTGCACTTATGGGCTTGCTTTGTAGCTGTGATCCAAAGCGTCTTTTTTTTTTTTTTGCCCCATTGTGGGAGCTTTGGTCTCATCCAGTACAGCGCTTCCTCCACTGAAATGATCAGACTAGGAAGAATTTGGGAATTAAGAAGAGGATAGCTTGAGTTATGGTTATGGGTTATGCTATGATTAACTTCTGGTGATGTTTTGGAGCAGGAATGCTAACAGAAATGTTTGTGGCTAATGATGTCTGTGGTTTTGTTTGTGTGGGTATCCTCCCACCCATTTAAACTTCCCCAGATTCCCTCTTTCTGGTTCCACAATCGTCTTGAAATTTTATGCTATTTCATGCTTTAAATTTCCCATAAACTGCTTCATTTTCCCCAAACACAACCACGTCTAGTGAATAAGAACCTGACATTTTTAAAGGGACTTACTTGTGCCCTCATTTCTCTGTCTAGCCATCTTCTAATCTACAGGACTGATGTGGGCATACCTGCAATAGTAGCAATGAATAATAACAAAGAGAGCTTTGTTATTATCTAGACCAGCCATTCTCAACCATTTCTGTGGGCCAGGGCAATAAACAGTCCCCAAGCACAGACAGGAAGGAGTGTAGGAAGGAGCAGCAGAAAACCACAACTCTTTAGTTGCTCATGGAGGTTCCTGAACAACACAACAGGAGGTTTGGTTCCTGGAAAGGTAATCACAATGATTAGATCGCTGGAAAGGCTCCCAAACTTAATAAATCTCACTGAACAGTTCAGAACCTTGCACGGGGCAGGCAGTCTCTGTTTGCCACCGATTTTCAGCAGCAGGGTTGTGCCGCTGATTTTTAAAATCACTATTTTAGAAGTCCGTACTTCTAAGGCTGCATGTTGCCCTTCGCACAAGAGAGGAAGGCGGGGATGACGCTGCAGAAAGTTCTTGTTGGCTTGAGCCTGCCTGCAGGCGGCTCGTTACAAGGCAAAATTTGAACCAAGGGCTTGTCTGTCCAGGGGCTCTGAGGGCTCTTATCACGGAGTGCCTCTAGCTGGGAAGCCCCAGAGCTGCACCTCGAGTGCCAGCAGGAGTTCCAGCTGGAGGCAACAGATCCTGGGTCCCAAAGCAAGCTGCTGTTCTCCTTCCGCTGGCAGGTCAAAGAGCTTTCAATTCAGCCAGAATTTCAAGAGTGGCTGCTCATTGGAAGAGGATTTTAGCTGATTGAGGTCCAGTCTCTTTCTAAGCATGTTTGCAAAGTGCTATTTAAAATACACAAATAGTGTTTTAATAGTATAAGTGTATACTTGTACTTTAACATTACAGCTTTCTATTGCCCTGTTACAAGCCTGGCTGCACCTTTACCAGCTGTAGCCTTGTTGTGAGCCGCTCCCAGTCCTCGTCCTGGGAGTGGCTCACAAGGTCAGCAATGATGATAATAAACCTAGCCTTGCTGATGTACCCATGGAACATATGAACTGGCACAAGTCTGTGCTCTCTGTCTTGACCAGTTACTTTGGCCATTGGTGACAGTGTCACATTATTGGCTGCAAAGGGAGATTTTTTAAAGTCTCTTTTCCACCACAGTGAAATCCTTAACTGGGTCACTTGGGAAAATTCCACTTCCCCGCAGGCTTCTGAGCAATGCCTTCTTTAGCAGAAGCCTGTTCTAAGAAACTGTCTGTTTGAATCTCTGTCTTTGCTCTGAGTCACGTTGTTGTTTCCCAACTCAATGGAATGGAGAATTCCTCATTTTGGGATGAGGAGAACTCCGAGCTCGGGGCGGTGAAATGGCTCTTGGCTTCCAGTGGCTGTGCCGCCCAAGAAGGGTACCCCAGGCCGTACCCATGAGTTCTTCTATGCTTCAGGGGTTGGATTCTACACGCAGCAAGTCTTTAGTTATTCTTAGCTTTTGCCGTGGAGGAAAGAAGCTGCCTGGATTGGGTCTGAATCCGGGCCGACCTTTTTGAGACTCGGGCTGTCGCTTTCCGTATATCTGTTCACCTGCCTTTCTCTCTTCCTTGGCGCTGCTCACGTGGCTCTTGGCTTCCAGTGGCTGTGCCACCCGAGAAGGGTACCCCAGGCCGTACCCATGATTTCTTCTATGCTTCAGAAGATGAGGGGGTTGGATTCTGCATGCAGCAAGTCCTTAGTTATCCTTGGCTTTTGTCGCAGAGGAAAGAAGCTGCCTGGACTGGGTCCGAATCTGGGCTGACCTTCTTGAGACTCGGGCCGTCGCTTTCCGTATTTCTGTTCACATGCCTTTCTCTCTTCCTTGGCGCTGCTCACCTGGAGGCTCAAGATGCTGAGCCGCCTGTCGGGTCTGGCCAACACGGTCCTGCACGAGCTGTCGGGGGACGGAGAGGATGCCGGGTCTCCAGCTCTGCCTGTTGTGAGTAGCCTCTTTTCCCCTTGCCTGGCCATGTCTTCGGAGGGTGCACGAAGCAGGCTACCTTGTCCCAGAGCTGCCCAGCTAAGTCCCAACCTATTTGCACCAAGGAGACCAGGTTCATACGTGCAGCACAGATACTAACTTGATCCCTGCCTCCTCCCTGTGAGTTTTTTTTAAAAAAATCATTGCTGGTTTGCAGCCAGAGGTGTGAACTGTCTTCTCCTGCTAAGGTGAGGATTGATACCTTTGGGAAGGCTGTCGGGGCTGCCTGATCTGAGGTGGCTCAGAGGCATCCTCGGTTCAATGCAGCATGAGGGGAAGTCTCTCACCTGAGCCGCCTGGGCCTGCCTTCTGCTTGCAGTTGCGTAGGGCCATCAGGCACCTGGTTCTGTGAGTGAAGCCTTGTTTGTTTGTTTATTTATTTATTTAACTTATATGCCGCCCAGGTCTCTCACCTGAGCCACCCGGGCCTGCCTTCTGCTTGCAGTCGCGTAGGGCCATCAGATACCTGGTTCTGTGAGTGAAGTCTTGTTTATTTATTTACTTATATAACTTATACGCAGCCCACACTACCCAAAGGTCTCTGGGCGGCTTACAACAATTAACATACAGTAAAAAAATAAAATAACACAATTAAAATACAATTAAAACAGATCCTCTAAAAATTGCCATCAGGACCCACAGTTGATAGTATTTCAATTAAAAGCCTTCTGGAACAGGAAGGTTTTGACCTGGTGCCGAAATGTCATCAGCGTCGGCGCCAGACGAATCTCAGTCGGGAGGGCATTCCATAGTCTGGGGGCAGCTGCTGAAAAGGCCCTTTCTCTACAAGCCCTCCCTCTTACCTCCTTGAGGGATGGCTCTTTCAAAAAGTGCTCCTTGGCTAGATCTTAACTGCCAGGTAAGTTCATATGGAAGGAGGCGGTCCTTCAGGTATCCAGGGCCCAAGCCATTTAGGGCTTTATATGTCAAAACAATAACTTTGAATTTGGCCTGGCCAGAAACGGGTAGCCAATGTCAGGCCCGGGCAGCAACTGGTAGCCAGTGTAATTTAAACAGAATTGGCTTGATGTGCCCCCCTAGCGGCCCCACCAATCACCCGCCACACAGCTTGATTCTGGGCCAGTTGCAGTCGCCGGACTGTCTTCAGAGGCAGCCCCACGTAGAGCACATTGCAATAATCCTTGCTTACTACCCCACCCACCCCCGGTGGTGGGGTGGCTTTGCTGCCACAAGTCCTCCTGTTTTCATTCCCGCAGGGGACCGAGCCAGAAGCTGGCCAGCAGAATGGAGAGGAGGCGACCGAGGATGTCTTGGAGCGGCTGGCCCACATGGAAAGGCTGGTGGTGCAGCTGAAGGATCTGGTGCGGGAGAAGGACACACAGCTCTGGCAGAAGGATGCCCAGCTCCAGGTACCCTGATGTGGGGCAGGGAAACCTCCTGGGCTCCCAGAGCCGAATGGGACGCTGACCTGGGAGAGGTTCAGAAGGCCCTGGAGCGTCTCAGCCCAAGGCTGCCTCTTTGCCCGCATCAGCATTGACCCGCGCGAGCATCCTGCAAACCAAAAGCAAGAGGCCGCATGATGCATGTATGGCCATGGAGGGAGTCATCCCCCCACCCCTGGATGAGTCAAGCAAGGGAGTCTTCCCTCCTCTCCGTGGGAGAAAGGGTGCTCGGGTCCTTTCCCAGGCTTAACTCGCAGGAAGCTGTTCCCTCCTGGGTCCGGAGGGCAAAGCGCTCCTTTCATCTGTCCGCAAGAGAAAACCCCGTGGCCTTTCATTGGGGCTGCTTTCTTTCTCTCTGCTTCGGTGTCACCTCTTGGAACATCCGGCCATGGCTTTGTGTCACGCTCTGTCTCCTAGGACGAAAGGCAGGCTGCCGAGGCCAAGCTGCTGAAGCTGAAGCTGCAGGCCAAGGCGAAGCTGGCGTCTCTGAACAAGCGCATTGAGGAGCTGACGGAGCGAGGAGCGGCATCGCCTGCCAGCCCCCTACCGGGAGAGCCAGCATCTCCGGCTCAGGTGAGATCCACCGGCCCCCTGGTGCAGGTGGAGGCTGAGCACCCCTAAACTGCCTTGCCGGAACAAGGGAGACCGTCCCAGCCACAGGTTGCCAGTCTTAACTCTGCCTTTGAGGCAGGAGGACCCCAAACACCTGGAGCTGACAGAATCCCATCGTTGCAGGAACGGCTTGAGCTTGGCCACCTCGGGGGCCCGTTCAGATCGAAATGGTCTTGTCTGGATTTGATGTTTCTGCACATGCTTTTTTCTCCACCTGGAAAGGCCAGGGTGTTTGCAGGATCTTTGCATGGTTCTAAATCCCCTTCCAAGTCTGCTTAAGCCATGCCTGATTTTTTTTAGATCATGTCAGACGCTCGTCATGGTCTTCACAGAGCTTCCCCAGAAATCCCTGCCATGCTGCTGAAAGTGGGGGGGGGGGGGGGGGGGAGGAAGTTAACTTCGGGATGCTGCCCACTTGCCCTGAACGTTTGTCAGAATCTCTGGGGCTGTGCTGGATGGAGCAGAGGGATTCCTTTTGGGCAAGGGAGAGCCCCAGGTCCCCTTCCATCTTGGGGGAAAGCACTGAGAGCAGAGGCCTGAGGGAGCCCACCCCTTTTTTTTGCCAGGGGTGACTGGAGGGGACTTTCTGAGAAGCAGAAGAGGGGCATGCATGAACCACGGCAGCAAGTCTCTTTAGGTCAGTCCGAGCCCACCTCCGCCGGCATGCAGATCAGTTTTCTTCACTAACCTGCCATCTCGATCCCACTAGGTGGAAAGTGAGCAGAGGCCACAGGACAAGCAGGAGGAGGAGGAGGAGGAGACGGAGGGGCTGAGAAGGCGGCTCCGGGAGCAGGAGGAAGCCGCAGGGAAGCTCCAGGAACAGCTGCAAGCAGCCACAGAGAGCCTGAGTCATGCCCAGGCCCAGGTACGGCAGGAGTCGTGGGGGAGGGAGGAGGCTGCCTGTCTTTCTCCTTGATGTAAGGCTGGTGTTCTGGATCTCTCTAGGGCAAAGGGGGGGGGAAATAAATCCAGCTGCATCATCTTTAAAATCTAGGAGCCTGAGAGTCACACGTAAACTTTTTCTGCCGTCACTGGGCTGTCACTCATTTGACTCACGACTTTCTGAGACTCATGTGATGACCCTCTATAGGAAGTCACAGTCCCTTCCCGTCCTGTGAAGGAATGGCTGCCCATCAAGTGGTGCAGGATTTCAAGGATCCCCCCCCCCAAAGCCGGTGGGAAGTTTTCCTTTGCAGGCCCCGAAATGGACGTGACTCTCCTGTGAGCTTTTTGGTTGGGCTCTCCTCTGCTGTTCCCATTCGTTTCAGAAGAGCCTGTGAAGCAGAGCTGCCCACTAGAATTTCAGCCATCAGCATGAGCTGATTGGATGTATTTGGAATCCAAACCATTTTTACCTTCTCTTGGCTGTGCTTTGGACTTGAGATCAGATGTTGGTTCACTTTCGGGGGGAAGGGGGGAGGCGGATTATGTTGCAGAGGAAGGTTGGAGAGATGTTGAGAACAAGGTGGTTTTAGAGAACTGGGTTTTGGGGTTTTTTTTTCCTGCCACAAAGCTGGAGTTTTTAGACTTCTTGACAAACTGTTTGTAATGCGAGACAGGAAGCATCTCTTGACGGCTTTGTGGCTTTTCCATTTGGTTGGCAGCTCACGGTTCTGCAAGAGGAAGTCCAGGAGAAGGAGACTCAGCTCAGGGAACAGGCCCACCAGCACCAGACTGAATTGCAGCAGTTAATGGCTCCATCGGCTCTGGAAGTGGAAATGCAGCAGGTATATTCACAGTGTCTTGGGACATGGCTCCGTTGGTTTCAGGGAGTGGGGAAGGTGCTGGACCTCTTGAAAGGGGCAGAACAGGCTTCCCTCCCAGGCTGGCAGAGAGCATCGGGGGGGCTCAGACGCAGAGATCTCGCCAACGAAGCTACACCTCCAAGCTCTTTTCTCTGGGGTCTCTGTGTTGGTGGCTGGGAAATCTCTTTGTTCTCTTGGTCTCAGAACCTGAGGCTGTTGCAACAGAAACTGGAGGAGCAGGAGGCTGCCTTGCTCGGGCGAACGCAGGTGGTGGAGCTGCTGCAGCAGGAGCTGAACGCCCTCGAAGAGCAGAGACAGGTACTTGGGCGCCTTCCTTGGTGACTCTGGAGGCCGAAGGGTCCAGAAGCGGTCAGGTCCATATTCCCTCTGGGCAGAAGGAGGAATAGCCTCCCCATCAGCTGGCTCCATGGGCCTGGATCCCACCGCTCAGCCTGCAGTCACGGAGAAGGGGTAGGCTGCAGAAAGTTACCCACAGAGGAAATAGTTCCACTTGGAACCAAGTCATGGGCGGTGGGAAAAAGGAAGAAGACACACCTCACACCTCCGCATGCAAGCAGGTCCAGGCAGGGAACCGGGGGCCACCTTTATAGCAGTCGTTCCAAACCTTACATCAAAATTTCCCAAGGGGCATGATGCTTCAGTGCTCAGCCTTTATCATCTCTCCCCCTTGTTCGTGAGACTTCCTTTTGGGGTTTCCTTCTTGGGCAGCTTCAGGGTCTGTAGAAAATTAACTATCCTGACCAAGCAGAGATTTGCAGCGACTCTCCCTCTTCCACACCTCGGTGTCATCTGATGGATCTTCTGGTTTCTCCTACAGAGAGTCAGAGTCACCTCCCAGGGCTGTGTCCCACCCTGTTCTTTCACTTTGTGCACCAGAATATTTGACTTTTTTTTTTTTGTAAACTATCCCCAGCTGTAGTTTTTCCAATAATAATTCTCCTTTGATTGAAACCTCTCTGAGGCATCTTTTGAAAGAACTTTTCTGTTTTAGGGCAACACCGATAACTCCATAAAATCAGCTGTTTTTGAACTCTCAACACCTTAAGCGTCTCCTCTGCTTTTAATTTTGCAGGCTCTCTTGGAGAAATTCCAGAAGGCGGAGGCCGAAGCGGATTCTCTGCGGAACACTTTAACCTCTGAGAGACAGGAGTCACAAAGCCGGGCGGAGAGGTTGGAGCTGGAGCTAGCAGAGCAGAAGATGGCCTTCCACCGCCTGCAGGAGGAGGTCCAGGAGGTCGCTCAGGAGCTGGCTCAAGCCCGAGCCGCTCAGGCCGACCTTGAGAGGAAGAGCCAGGCGGCCGAGCAGAGACACGCTGGGGAGTTGGCCCAGAAGGGCCAAGAAATCGCCGAGCTCCAAAAGGTGGAGCAAGATTTGCGGTCCTGCTATGAGGCTCTTCGAGATGAGAATGCCCAGCTGCGGCAGGATCTCGGCGGCCCCACCGAGGCCTCCGCTGAAGACGCTCCTCTCCAGCAAGGTCAGGAGGCCACCCCGAGCTCTTAATTTAATGGGGAACATGCCAGCCATTCACCGCGCCACCCCCAGGATAGCCTCTTGGAGAGAAATTGGGCAAGTTGTGCTGCAGGTCCTTTGGAGGGATCGCTTGCAGAGGCTGCGGTTTTGTGCCTTTTGAGAGCTGGTGGGTCATGGGCAGAGCTGGAAAAGCCAGCTTTTTGGACAACACCCCCCAGCATCCCCTCTGCCAGCATGGCTGATGGGACAGGTATCTTAGAAGCTGTTGTAAAAATGCAAAGAACAACAACTTAGCTTGCACACATACATTCCCCCCCCCCCCGTTCGCAGCTGCTGTTGGCCGTTTTTATCTTCAGTGGTTCAAGCAAAGGCCCAGGGATGGCCTTGTTTGATTGATTGATTGATTGATTGATTTTGTACCCCGCCCATTTAGTCAACTGACTACTCTGGGCAGCTAACAGCATATAAAATAAACCATTTAAAATATAGTACAAATAATATATCAATAGACAAAGACTCAAGGTGAGAGAACAAAATAGATGCTAACACCATGTGAGCCTATTTCAGTATCCAGGAGCCTTCTTTAGATGTGGAATGCATAGAAGGGCAAAGCCCACTGCCCTTCCTGTGTGCATCGTCTGCCGGCACCCGTCAGGGAATGGCTCTGATGCTGGCTGAGGGGCTGGGGAACTAACCTTTGGCATTTATGTCCTAGGGGAGCTTCCTGAAAAGCCCCAAGGGCCTGGCCTGTCGCAGGCGGAAGCGGAAGCCCAGGAGGCAGGGCAGGTCATTCCGCTGGAAAGCCAGGTACCGGCTTTGGCAAACCCCATCACGGACACCCCAGATCGGCGTTTGTCTTTTGTGGGGTTGGTCCTTCTGGCTGCTTCTGATCTCCACCAGAAGAACCTGACGCCTCTTCTGCCTGAGAATGAGACACCCCGGTTTTGAAAGACAGGGAGGTGGGGTGGTTGTGCGGAGTGTAATGTAAAGATTGCCGTAATCGGGGTTCCTCTTTGCCCTTTCCAGAGGGCCCCTCTCTGTGAGAGGAGAACACACAACTGTTCACTAAGAACCTGAGCCTTTGGGGGGGGGACGGGGACACCGCCCTCTGTCTTATCCATAGATTTCTAGGTGTAGGACTAGATAAAGGAAACACGTGCGCATGCACATGTGCTGTATTCCACCAAGTTGGAACTGGCCCTATTAGGGCTTTCAGGGTAGAGGAGATACATAAGGAGGGATTTTACCAGTTTCTACCTGCTGGTGAATTTCTGTGGCCAAGCAGGGATTTTGGTACACTACATCAGGTATCGAGGAAAACACCTACTGCAGAATGCCCTACGGTTGACTTAACGTTTCTGCAAATACACCCTTGGCAGGAGTCACACAGGCACTGGAGGCTGTCTGAAGATGGTTAAATGGAAGGAACTGTGTGAATGTGACCTCTGTAGGTGGGTTGGGAAGCCCAGTACTTGGTTGGGGATCCCTCTGCTCAAGTCCCGCTTCTCTGTCTCCCCAGCCCGTCTCCGAGCTGAGCGCAGCGGCCTCGCCCGGGAGGGACGGTGGGCAGCAGGAGGGCCGACAGCACGAGGCTGCAGGGGAGGCTCCAGGACCTGAAACAGGTACCTCACCTCTTCCTTCCTGCTTTCTTTCCCCCTTTGAACGTTTGCATTTAACCTCCTCGGTCCCGTCTGCCTTTCTGTGTGTCGCTTGCTTTTTCCCCTGTCAAAAAGTGAGCCTCTGTGTCTCAGGTGATCATCCTTTTCCTCTCATATGTTGAAAGGGTTGTGGAAGGAGGCCACTGGCCGTGGCTTGTCCTTGTCACTCTATGTTTCCAGCTGGGGTACGTGAACCCACTGTGACGTATCAAGAGCACAGGGGGTTTGGTACATCCTCAACACACACGGCTGGGATCCTTGTGGTAGAGAGCCCCCGAGGCAAGGGCAGAGGGGTGTGTGTGTGTGTGTGTCAGTCTCTCTAGCCTGCATGGCCGACCCTCTTCTCCTAGGATCCCATGAGGGCCTTTGCCTTTATTCTCTGGGGCTCCCTTATCGCCTTTCCCCGCAGGAATAACTCCGGTGGCTCTTTTCACCACCTTTGGTAGCCACCTTAAAAATGTTTCCCATTCTGTTTTATGCTGCCAGCAGGATATTTCCGTGGCTGCTTCCCCTAACCCTCGTGAGTGTTTAAGGAATAGTGTTTACTGACTTTTCAAGATACATTAATGCCTCTTTGTATTCTAGTAGTTGGTAAGCAAACGGTTGGCGTAAGTTGATAAAAACCAGTGATGATGTTATAACAGAGAACAAGGATGTCCTCGAAGACATTTCTCTGCTCTCCAGTATAGTAATATTTACTTGTACTGTAGCATCATCATCAGGTCTTGCTTTTCTTACAGGAGATGTCATTAAGCAGTTCTGCACTATAAATGCTGTTGTCATCTAGGCCCATTCCCAAGATGTTCCAAACCTCTCACTCGGCTCTTTTGCTTCCTTCCCTTTTCCGTCGGCTGTCCCTCTGGCCACTGCCTTCCTGGCTCTGCCTTTGCTCTGTAGATGTCCTCAGGCCAGCCCCTTCGCACTTCCCAGCCACCCCTCCGTGCCTATTTGTCACCTTAACCCCCTTTGGGGATACTGTGTAACGCCCACCTTACATCACACGTCCCCTCTCCAAGACAAGCGGATCCAGTTCCTGTCCTGCAGTGGAACTTGGGTTGCTCCTTCTCTCTTCCCGCTTCCTTGGTCGGTGGAAGCTCTGGGGAATTCTTCTGTGACATCTCCTTGGAAGGGGAGGTTTACAGTCTTCCAGATCCATGTCTCACAGACGCATCTCCCCTAAGATAGAGCCTTCCTTTCTCGGGGGGGGGGGGGGGGGGGAATGGGTTCATGGCCTGCCCTGACCAGACCCTACCCGTGTCTCTACAACACTGACCCGCGTCCCTCTCCCCTGGGGTTGAATGCCCCTTTCCCCTGTCTTTCCAGAACCCCTCCCTGGTGAACCTGCCATGCTGGAGAAGAGCCCTGGATTTGGAGAAGGCGCGCCAGAGTCAAACCAGGTAACCTCCGAGCGACGCAACCGAACAGACCCTCTGGCTGGCAAAGTATTTGCTGTGAGAAGGGCTCCTTCCGAGCCGCTTTTGGGGCCACGTCCACCAATCCTCTCTGCCTCGGGTGTTATTAAAAAGCTTAACGTGCAGGAAAGGAGGGGAAACGCTGCTTCTAAATTAAACTCTGGGCTGGCCTGGTCTGCCAGTCCCCTCCGATGGACTTCCGCCGCTTGTCCGGAAGCTCCTCTGTTCTGCACATGCCTTGAACTCAAACGGATGGAGGCTTAAGATGAGACAAGGCATAGCTGTGCCATTTTATGTACAGACGGGGGACTGTTTTCGTGGAGGTGAGGAGAACCCAGGCATTCCCCCGTTCCAGCTCCATGGGGAGTCTTTAAACTGTGTCTGTATCTTTAGCTGGAAGAGACAAAAGCAAAAAGTCCCTGTGGTGCTTCGGTCTTTTTCCTTCTTGCTCAAATGTCTTAGATTTGTGTTCTGGACGCAGCGTGCCTCTCTTTAGCTGGAGGATCAAGTGACAAATATTTCTCTCCTTGGTGGCTGTTTGGCACAAGGGGCTGGCTGTGGCGCCAGCTTCTAGTTTATCCTGGAGCCCAAGGGGTTCCCTGGTAGAATCCTTGAGGTTTGGCCTCTTTTCTCTCTCCTTGAAAGGTTGGCGGTGCTGAAACAACCCCCGAGGAACCTCCCCAGCTGCTTGAGCTTCAGGGTAAGCCTCTCTAAAGGATGCAGGTTGCTTTTGTTTCTGCCCCTCGTGTGGAATAGCTGGGACTAAGGGTCTTACCCAGAAGGTCCCAAACTTAGCCCAGGAGCTGGGTGGGTGGGTGGGAACAGGCCGATGTTTTGAGCCACTGCAACGAGGCGAGGCTTGGTTCTGGTTTGACTTTCCTCTGTTCTGTCGGCTAGGCTCGCTGGAGCGTCACAAGAGCGAGAGAGGGGAGGAGGATCTGCCCTTGTCAGAGGCACCGTCTGCCCCAGCTCAGGTGAGCCCTTGAAACCCTTCCTTGCCTTGCTGCTCAGCTGTCTTCTGTGGTCTTGGTATTCCTCCCCCAGCAGCCTTACTGATCAAGCAGCTGAATTGTCCCATAGGGCAGTGGTTGATGTTGGAGGGGGGTGGGTGGGGGGCCGCAGGCCTGTAGGTCCTTCACCAGGTCTGTTCCTTGCCGTGTCCTGGCCGGAAGACCTGATGCCCCGCTTGCCTCTTTTCAGCCCACCCCGTGTGAGAGCCCTCGGGAGCTGCCCCACGGCACAGAGAACAGCCCCACGGACATCTTGGAGTATCTTTCCCAGAAGAAGCACAAAGACCTCTCAGTCTTGCTGTTGGAGCTGCAGGAGGCTCAGGAAGAAATCGCTTTTCTCAAAGGACAGCTTCCGGTCTCCAGCCAGCTGGATGCTGAAGGCGCTCAGCAGCAGCCCAGAGAACCGTTGCAGGACAGTGGTGGAGAGAGAGGAGGAGAGGAAGGGCTGGCACTCATCCAGAGCGACTCAAGTAGCAGTTCACTGGTCACCGTGGACGTTCAGGAAGATTCCCCTCCCTTGGTGGGAACGCTCCAACGGCAAGACAGCTCCTGCGCAGAGGACGAAGAAGGCGCCCAGAAGCTTCCCCCGCGCTCTGTGCTGCCGATGGAAGGGAGCGAGCTGCGAACCAGGCAGCAGGAAGCCGAGGAGCTCCACAAGAGGGCCTTGGAGGAGAGAGAGGTGGAGATTCAGAGGCTGCGGCAGCTGCTCGAGGACTCCGACGGGACCTTGCGTACCCTAAGGGCCGAGCGGGACGAGCTCCTCTCCCGGCTGGAGGAGCTCTGTAGCCTGGCAGAGCTGAAGGCGCAGGTGAGGCAGCTGGAGGGGGACCTGGCTGACGCTGAGAAGCGCCGCCTCTCGGACTACGAAGACGGACTCTCCCGACTGGGCCTCTTGAAGGAGGAAATCCAGAGCCTGAACAACGAGGCCAGGTCCAAAGAGGTGAAGATCTCTGCCCTGCAGAAGGACCTGGATGAGGCTCAGTGTCGCCTGGCCGAGCAGGACCGGCTGGCCAAAAGCTTGAGCGGCCAACTCCAGAAAGCGGAGCAAGAGCAGCGGAGCTTGGTGGGCCAGCTGCAGGCGGCCTCGGCCGAGGCGGAAGAGCTCTCCCGACGCCTCACATCCGAGGAACAGGAGTCGGCCCGGCTGGAGCGGCTCCTGTCCGAAAGCGCCAGGGAGACAGAGAGGCTCCGACAGCAAGTGGCAGAGCGGGAGGAGCAGATGGCCGAGGTCAGCCGCAGCATGTCTGACCGGATGGTCCAGCTGAACGAAGAGAAGTTTCTGTTGGGCAAGGAGCTGCAGAGCCTGACCGAGCGGCTGAGCCTGCAGCTGCAGGAGAAGCCGACCCGAGACCAGAGCGTGGGGACGGAGGAGGAGGAGGAAGGGGAGGCCGAGCGGCCGGACAGGAGGGCAGTTTCTGCCGGACAGGAGATGGAGGCACTGAGGAAGGAAAATGAGCAAGTGAGGAAGAAGCTGCAGGCCGCCCTGGTCAGCCGGAAGGAGCTCCTGAGCCGAGTCCGCCAGTTGGAGAGGGAGCTGGAAGAGGGGAGACGAGAGCTGGCCAAGCCTGGAGTCAAAGGCCAGGATGAAGAGGAGGAGGAGGAGGATGGTAAAGAGGAACCCCTGGCGAGCGGCCGGGATGCCGGTGGAGAGGCACAGCCTGCCGGGCGAGGCCAGGAGCCCCCTCTCAGCCCGCTGCTTTCTGCCAAAGAGACCGAGCTGCAAGCTGCCCTCGAGGAGAAAGAATCCGCCGTGGCTTCCCTTCAGGCGGCGGTGGCAGAGCTGCAGCAGAGCTTGAAGGAGAAGGACCTCTGGATTGGTGCCCTGCAAGCGGAGCTTAAGGCCCAGCACTCGGCCCCCGGGGGCCAGACCTCCATGGATCAGAGCACGGGGCTGTCTGAGACCGCCGCCCCACTGGGACGGGAGCAAAGCAGCGCGATTGGCCTCGTCCTGGAAGAAGAAACATCTCCCAAAGCTGGCTTGGAAGAGAGGCTCTCTGTTCTGAAGCAGGAAAAGGAGCAGCTCCAGAAGAAGCTCCAGGAAGCTCTGGCCTCGCGCAAGGACACCCTCAAAAAAGCCCAGGAGAAGGACCGCCACCACCGGGAGCAGCTGAGGCAGCAGAAGGAGGACTACAGCGTCCTGCAGGAGCAGCTGGAGCAGCAGATGAAGGCGAAAGAGAGGCTGCAAGACCAGCTGCAGGCCCTGAGCACCACCCTGGAGAACTCTTCCCTTCCCGAACCTGCCAAGGAGGTTCCTTCCGAAGGAGGGCCCGCGGTGGAGGTCTCTCCAGAGTGTGTCCTGACCAGTGAGCCCCTGGCAACTGAAGGCCTTCTTGTGGAACAGCTCAAGGCTGACCTTGAACGTCTTCGGGATGAGAAAAAGGAGCTGGAAAACCATGCCAGCAACCTGGAAGGCGAGCTGGCCAAGACGTCTGCCACCATCCGGCAGCTCCAGGAGCAGTCCCGGGAGCTGCTCGCTGAGCTGGAGGGAGTGAAGGGAGCCTGCTCTCAAGCGGAAGCCAGGGCAGCGAGCCTTCGGCAGGAGCTGGACCAGAGCCGAGCTGAGGTGGCCAGGCTAGAGAACCTGAGACTCCGACAGGTGGAGCTGGAGGAGGGGAAGGCACGGGCTAGCAAAGAAGAAATCGAAAGCCTGAACTCCCAGCTAGCAGAGAAATGTGAATCTGTGCGCTGCCTCCAGGCGCAGCTGCAGGAAAGAGAGAACACCGTCAAAGTCCTGCAAGGCCAGCTGGAGATCCAGAGCAGGGAACAAGCCCAACAGCACCGGCACGTCGAAGCGGCTGAAGCGCAGCAGAAAGCGGCTGAAGAAGCTGCCGAGGGAGCCTCGAGGGCCCAGCTCCAAAGGAAGCTCCAGGCTGCCCTCATCTCTCGGAAGGAGGCGTTGAAAGAGAGCAAGATGCTGAAAGAAGAGCTGTCCAGCACGAAGGCCGCTCTGGAAAGTGCTTCCGCCCGCCTGCTGGAGGCCGAGAGCCAGGCCTCTGAGCTGGAAAAGGAGAAGGGGGCGCTTCTAGAGAAACTAGCGGTGCTCGGAGAGGAGCGGGAGAAGCTCATTGCGGAAGTGGACAGAGCCTTGGTGGAAAACCAGAGCGTGTCCAGCTCCTGCGAGAGTCTGAAGTTGGCCCTGGAGAGGGTGACTCAGGAGAAGACAAGATGGGAGGAGGAGGTGGGCACTCTGCAGCAGTCCCACGCCCAGGCGCTTTCGGAAGGGCAGGAGAAGCACCAGGAGTTGCAGAAGGAGTACGAGACCCTCCTGCAGTCATACGAGAACATCAGCGATGAGGCCGAGAGGATCCAGCGGGTGGTGGAGAGCGTTCGACAGGAGAAGCAGGAGCTCTTCCTCCGGCTCAAGGACGCCGAGGCTGAGAAGAGGGAGGTGGAGGCCCGCTTGCAGGGGGCCGAGCAGGAGATGGAGGGGATGAGAGAGAAGATGAGGAAGTTTGCCAAGTCCAAGCAGCAGAAGATCCTGGAACTGGAAGAGGAGAATGAGCGGCTGAGGGCGGACGGGCGTCCAGCCGGCGATGGCTCTGGAGGGGCCGAAGAGGCCAGCGCCCACCTCAGAGGAGAGCTGGAGAGCGCCCAGAGGACCTGCGAGTCCTTGTCCTGTCAGCTGGAGGCACTGCTGTCGGAGAAGGAGGCTCTGAGCCAGCAGATCCAGGACTTGAGGCGGTCGGCCCAGACCCAGGCAGAAGGATTGGAAAAGAGCAGCCAGCCGGAGGAGAGCTGCGTAGCCAGTGAAGCCGTCGGCTCCGCAAGGGCAAGGCCTCCGGAGGCGGTGGCCGCAGAGACCCATCGAGATGCCGTCCCTGAACCTCTGGAGCCCACCACTGGGGAGGAAAGGGGACCTTCGCAGGATGAGATCAATGGCTACCTTCAGCAGGTGGCGCAGCTCTCGGAGCAGGTCGCAGAACTGGAAGAGAAGAGGAAGGCGGCAGCCGAGGAGATGGGCCAAGTTCGGAGGGATTTGGAGACCCTCGGAGAGGAGAAGAGAGGCCTGGAGGAGCTCCTGGCTGCCAGAGGGCACGAACTGCACGTTCTGCAGGAGAAGGTGCTCACGATGGAGCGAGCCGGGCAGCAGGCCGAGGAGCAACGGGCAGAGGCCAGGAGGCTGAAAGAAGCTCTGGAGGCGGAGAAGGATGACCTGGAGGAGAGGCTCATGAACCAGCTGGCAGAGCTGAATGGGAGTATCGGGAACTACCAGCAAGAGGTGGTGGACTTGCAGAGCCAAAACCAGCAGCTACGAAGCGAGGTGGAGAGCCTCCGGGAGACCTTGAGCCAACTGGAGGAGGAGCAGCGACGCCTGCCGAGAGAGAAAAGCGAGGCGGAAGCGGAGAAGAAGATTGAACGCGAGGAGAAGCAGCTCCAGAGCTGCCGGAAGGGCGACAACAGCCGTACTCAGGTGAAGGAGCTTCAGGAGCTGCTGAAGGAGAAGCAGCAGGAGGTCCGGCAGCTGCAGAAGGACTGCATCAAAAGCCAGGAGAGAATCAGCAGCCTGGAGAGGACCATCAAGGCCCTGGAGTTTGTCCAGAGCGAATCTAAGAAGGAGCTGGGAGCCACCCAGAAGAGCTTGGCCCAGGCGGAAGAGGGCACCCGGAGGGCCCAGGCGGAGCTGGCTTCCTGCCGGGTCTTGCTGGACGACACTCAGAGCGAGGCGGCCCGAGTCTTGGCCGAGAGCCTGAAGGCGAAAGAGGAGCTTCACGCCTACAAGGCTCGGGTCCAGGCAGAGCTGAGGCAGAAGGAGAAGGACCTCGAGAGGCGCCTGGAGCAGGAGAAGGGCAAGCACTCGGACGAGCGGAGGAGCCTGGAAGAGAAGCTGGAGGCCTTGCGGAGGGAGCAGGCGGGCTCGGAGGGACGGGCCCGGGACCTCCAGGAATCCCTGCGCCGGAAGGACCAGGAAGCCCAGCAGCTGCAAGGCAGCCTCAACCACACCTTGGCCCAGCTGGCGGCCTTCACCAGGAGCATGTCCTCTCTGCAGGACGACCGGGACCGGGTGATCGACGAGTCCCGGCAGTGGGAGAAGAAGTTCAGCGAGGCCCTCGAGAAGAAGGAGCAGGAAGTCCAGGCCCGGGAGGAAGCGTGCGCGGCCTTGGAGGCGGAGGTGAAGCAGGGCGCTGCCCAGGTGGAAGAGCTGCAGACCCTCCTCGCCAGGTAAAAAGGGGGGAGAGGGAGAGGGAGAGGAACAAGCGGGGGCCATTTGCTTCTCCCAAGAGGAAGTGGACAGCCCATGCTGGGGGGGGGGTCGTCGTCGCTGTGTTCAAGTTTGTCTCTCTTACAGGAAGGCAAGGGACAGCTTAGCTGGTTCCCGGTGGGCTGCGATACCTTTCCAGAAAGAATGGGAGCCGAATTGGTCAATTTGACCATGAAGAGGTGTTTTTTTAAAAGAAAGGAGGCAGATGCCAGCTTCTCTGCAAACTGAGAAGCTATAAGGATAGAGAAGTCTGTTCTTGTCTCTCTTAAATGGGAGACCAAGGAGGGGGTCGACAGGCTGGCTCACTCAGAAGAATGAAGCTGGAAATTGCGTGTGTGGGTGGGTGCTGTGCCCTCCCCACCCCCACGCCTTTTCTGCTCTCCTGTCGCCTGGCCTCTTCCACCAAACCATGAGATTCCTCCACCTGGTATAAATGCCAGCATTCATAGAATCCTGGGAGTTGGAAGGAGCTCCATCCATCAAGTCCAACCCCCTGGTCAAGGCAAGAATCTCAAATCAAAACAATTCTGATAGATGGCTGTCCCTCCAGTGTTGGAGCGCTCACCACCTTCCCCCAAGAGGTTATGGATTCCGTTGTCATACTGCTCTAACAGTTAGGAAGTTTTTCCTGATATTCAGCCAAAATCTGGCTTCCTCTGACTCGAACCTATGGTCGCATTGCACTGTGCTATCACAAACAAGTGTAGTGAATCTGTCCCAGAGAGGCTCAGGTGGGGGGGGGATTTAGTTTCTTCCGTGTGACCAAGTATTCCAGCGCCCTAGCCAGGACAGCATGGGTCACCTTTCAGTCGCAAACCACCAGATAATTGTAGGCTAGCACTTTGTCCCCTAAAGGGAGCCTCCTAAGTGCCTGAAGCGGCTTTAGCTGTGGCCGGCTTTTAAGGCAGGCAGGGTGGGAGTGGATGGTGGCTTAAACTGAATTGTGCCCGATCCTTCCTTCCTTCTCCGCCTGCAGCCTGGAGCAGGACAAGTTGGCCCGAGAGTCTAGTGCCCAGAAACAGCTTCAGCAACATCAAGAAGAAGTCCAGATGCTCCAGAAAGAGAAAGAGGACCTGGCCTCCCAGCTCGAAGAGACCCGGCGGTTGCTGAGCCAGTCCCAGGACCGGGTCCAGAAGCAAGAAGCAGAACTGGGGAGCCTGAGGGAGGAGCTGTCCCGCCTGCAGGAGTCCTTGGCGCAAAGCAAAGCCGTGCAGGAAGGAATGGAGGAGACCGTTAAAAGCCAAGAGGCCGACCTCCAGGAGTGCCGATTCCGCCGTGAGCAGCTGGAGGCCGACTTGCAGGCGTCCAAGGCGCTGACGGACAGGCTCCACCAGGAGGCAAGCGCGAAGGACCAGAAGATCATCCGCCTTTTAGCCGCCCAGGAAGAGGCTGTGGCAGCCGCTGCCTCGGAGTGGGAGCAGAAGCACCAGGAGGAGCTGGCGCGGTTGGAGGACAGGAGAGGAAGGGCGGAAGCCGCCAAGGCAGCCCTGGAGACAGAGAAGAAGGGCGTTCAGGAGAAGGCGGATCATCTCGCGGAGAGGCTGAAGAGCGCCCGCGAGGAGAGCCAGCAGCTCAAGGCTCAGCTGGATTCCTTCACCAAGTCCATGTCCTCCTTGCAGGACGACCGGGATCGAGTCCTGGAGGATTATCAGCAGCTGGAGCAGCGGCACCTGGCCGCCATCCTGGAGAAAGACCGGCTGATCCAGGAGGAGGCCGCAGAGAACAACACCCTGAAGGAGGAGCTCCGGAGCCTTCACGGCCGGCTGGATGACTTGCACGCGGAGAACGCCAAGCTGGACGCGGAACTGGTGCGCTACCGCCAGGACTTGAACCAAGTCATCTCCATCAAGGACTGCCAGCAGAAGCAGCTGCTGAAGACCCAGCTGGAGCACCTCCAGGCGCTGGAGAAGGAGAAGGCCGGCGTCGAGGGCCAGCTCAGGGAGTCCGAGCGGGCCCTGGCCAGCCTGCGGCTCTCTGTCGAAGACCTGCAGCGGGAGAAGGACAGCGTGGAGCAGGAGGGGAAAGCCCTGAAGGACTCTCTTTCCTGGATGGAAAACGAGATGGCGGCTCTCCGGGAAGGCGGCCCCGTCTTGGAGCTGCAGGCGCAGCTGCAGGGCAAGGTGGACGAAGCGCAGGCGCTGAGCGGTCAGCTCTCGCTGGCCCAGCAGCGGACACGAGAGCTGGAGGCCGAGGTGGCCTCTCTTCAGAAGACTATGGCCCAGAGGGTGCAGGAAGCAGAGGCCAAGATGAAGAAGGAGCTGAAGGACCTCCACCACGACGCCGGGCTGATGAGGAATGAGACCGAGACCGCAGAGGAGCGGGTGGCCGAACTGGCCAAGGATCTCCTGGAAATGGAGCAGAACCTCCTGGCTGTCACGGAGGAGAACCAGGACTTGAAGGCCCAAATCCAGTCCTTCCAGAAGGCCATGAGCTCCCTTCAAGACAGCTGGGACCAGGCTCACGAGGAGTTGCGCGCCCTGGAAAAGAAGTACTCTGGGGATATGGAAGAGCAGCGGCTGTTGGTCCAGAGCCTGTCGACGGAGAAGGCCCGGCTCCAGGAGGAGCAGACGCGCCTGTCCGGGGAAAGGGATGCCCTGGCTTCGGAGCTGGCTGCCCTTCGGAGCGCCGCGGAAGAGAAAGGCCTTCTGGCTCGCCTGGACCTCCTCGGCCAGCAGCTTCAGGCCAAGGATGTGGAGCTGCTTCGCCTGGCCTCCGAGCTGGAGGGGGCCTCCGGGCAGGTGAAGTCCTTCTCCAAGGCCCTGGCCAGTCTCCAAGGGGAGCGGGACCGTTTGCTGAGCACCCTGGACAAAGCCCGCCGAGAGGAGGAGCTGCAGCTGCAGTCGACCGCGAGCGCGTCTGCCAGCCTGGCCGAGGTGCCGAGCCTCAAGAGGGCCTTGTCTGCCCTGCAGGATGACAGAGACAGGCTGGGGAGTTGGGGGTGGGGTGGGGGTGGGTGGGGGCAGTTTCCAAGGTCTTTGGGTCTTCCTAGGCTCCTTGGCTCCTCCTCCGGTTTCCTCGAGTCTTTCGCAGGTTGCCCAAGACCCGGTTTCCAAGCTTAACCTAGGTAAAGGTAAAGGCAAAGGTTCCCCTTGACATTTAGTCCAGTCGTGTCTGACTCTAGGGCACGGTGCTCATCCCAGTTTCCAAGCCGCAGAGCTAGCATTTGTCCGAAGACCCTTTCTGTGGTCACGTGGCCAGCGCGACTAGACACAGAATGCTGTGACATTCGCACTGTGGAGGTACCTATTTATCTACCTGCATTTCCATGCTTTCGAACGGCTAGGTTGGCAGGAGCTGGGACAAGCGATAGGACCTCCCTCCCTTGCGGGGATTCGATCTTATGACAGCTGGTCTTCCTTACAGCCCAGAGGCTTCTGCAGTTTAACCCACGGCGCCACCCACGTCCCTAAGACTGCCTGAACTTGTGTCACTTCACAGTGCTGTTGAAGGGTTCTGTCTGAATTGTCCAGCACGGACGGAAATCCAGGTTCTTGCTGAAAAAACCTTTCCTCTGGCTGCTGCACTCTTAAGAGCGTGCTGGCGCAACACAGAGCCGTTTGCTCTCTGTGCAATTGGCGTGGCCCACCCTGTGGAGTTCTGAGAGCTGTAGTCTGGTGAGACGTGTGGACGTCTCTGCTGCTGTCTGTGGGGTTGGGCCACAGCCGTTTCAAAAGGCTTCACCAACTCCCAGGTTCCAGGATTCCCTAAGATGGAATCCTGATGTTTAAAAGTGGTATCAAACTTCTGTACCTTTCTGGTCCCCAGAAGTTCTTAGACTACAATCCCCAGAAGCCTTCACCACTAGCTGTGCGGGCCAGGATTTCTGGGAGTTGTAGTCCAAGAATGTCCAGGGACCCAAAGTCGGGAAGCCCTGTTCTAGAGTGTGAGTATATCCTAAAGAGTCAAACTGAACGGTAAAAACCCTTGGCCTGCTTTTGGAAAGGGTGCTCCCCAGTAAGAGAAAAGGACTTGCGTTGGTCACTTTTCTTCACCACGCATCTCGTATTTAGCGTGCTTTGTTTTGTGATGTTTGAGTTAAACGTGGGTATTGTTGGTAAGCCTGATTCGTTCCTGTGGACACCATCCCAGAAAAAGGCCCCCAGCCAGGGTGAGAGGGAGGAAGGATTAAGAGGGTCGATTGCAGGGACGACACGATCCGCCTCCCCCTTCCTGTCCAGACTGGCCCTCAGAGAACACTGTTGACGGCAACTGGGAAGAAATTATGCTGACTCAGAGAACACCGTTGATGGCAACTGGGAAGAAATTATACTGAAATTCCTGCTTTTCTGGGAGGGAATTGTGGTCGTGGGGGGGGGCTCTGGAGTGGAAAAACGGAACAGCCTGTTCTGGGTCTAATTTGACTTTGTCCGGACGAGGACGGGTGCTGGCTTTCCATTCTTGAACAGCCTGTTCTGGGCCTAACTTGACCTTGTCCAGACGAGGACGGGTGCTGGCTTTCCATTCTTTCCAAAAGGTATCCAGAGCTGACCAGGGCTCTCCTTGTGAGGTGCGGACACGGAGGTCGGTGGCAGGCAGGTGACACGGCCACCGTATGACTTCCTCCTCCTTTTTTTTTGTTTTTTTTGTTTTGTCCAAAAGCTGGCAGAGCTGAAGAACCTGCAGCAGCAGTATCTCCAGGCCGGGGTGGACACGGCCGAGATCACCCGCTTGACGGCCGAGCTGCAGGAGCAGCAACGAGAGGTGGAGCGGCAGCAGAGCCTCCAGGAGCAGCTGAAGGCGGAGGCAGCCTCCTTGCAGCTGGAGCTCCAGCAGCTCAGGTGAGAGGGAGAGAGAGAGAGAGAAGCCCATCTCCTTTCCAGAGACACAGCTCCAATCCCTCTGTGGCTGACTGCTCCTCTGGGTCTACTCCACCCGGGGCCTTGACATCCTTGCCAGGGTGGAGGGTGGGGAGTCCAGAGGAGGCCCTGTCTTCTGGGCTGCCCGGGCCCCGGCGCGGGGGCTTCGCTTGCTCTGCTCTGTCACGGGAGACAGATGAAGCCTGGCTCAGACCGAGCTGCCAGCAAAACACACACACACACCCCCAGCGGCTGGGCTTGGCCCGGCACTGCCTCGAGAGGAGCGATACGTGGCTCAGCGGGCAGCTCCTCTTCTCTTCCCCCTCCCCAGTGCCACAGCCAGTCTCTCCCGATCTCCTGGCTTTTTGCAGGGAGGAAAAGGCGGCTTGGGAGTCAGAGGCCCCCGTGCGCCACGAACAGCCGCTGAGAGCGGCACAGAAGACCAGGAGGTCCGGCGCCCGGGGCCTAGAGGAGGATCGGCATCAAAGGCAGGTGAGGCCGGGGAGCCGCCCCGTCGGGGCCGCGGTGCTTTCTCACTTGGGCCTCCCCTGGTATTCAGGACCGCACTTGTGATCCTTAACCTTGGGCCCCTTTCTTGCAAAGCCACTGTGATCCTTGGGCTCGTCTCTCTTTTGTCACGTTTGAAACGCTTTGTCCTGCTGTGGGTTGGCGGGTCCTCTTCAGCCTAAAATGTGTGCTGGCATTAAATTGGCATTGGCTGCTCCGGGGAGCCCGTTTTCAGCTCTGCCACGAAGTCAGGCCTGTGTAGTTGTCTGCAAGGAACCTCCCGGGCCAGACGGTCCCTAAATCCATGCAAGTCACGTGGAGCCAGGGTGTGTGTGTGTGTGTGTGTGTGTGTGTGTGTGTGAGAGAGAGAGATGGGCAGGGAGGGAGGCGGCCGTCTCCTCCTTCGGCCTGTGCTCTCGGAAGCCCCGCAGCCTTGGCCCACGATTCCCCAGGCAGGGCCAAGAGACAGGGAGGTAGCAGAGCGCGTGCTTCTCCACAGGCTGCTGCAGAAAGCTCTAGATCCACCCATGCTCTGAAGGGAGAGGCGCCCGGCCAAGGGGTGGACACAGAGGACCTCCAGGCCCAGCTGCAGAGCAGCCTGAAGGAGCTCCACCAGAAGGAGCTGCGCATTCAGCAGCTGCACAGCAAGGTAGGAGCAACCGGGATCCTTGCTGGGTGGATCGTGCATCCTTCGGACCGTGTCTGTAGTAGAGGAGGCCTCTCAAAGCGCAGTGACAGCTGTAGATGAGCTTTCTATGACTTGAAGCCGCTGGTCCTGAAGTTCATCTCTGTACAGGCGCTCCGCACACTCGGTTGCATTCTTCTCAGGAGGACTCAGCCTTCGGGTTGTTTCCCCTGCCAAGAAGATGGAGAATTCTCTTTTAGATAAAGGAAGCAGGATGGGAAAGGGTCTCTCTCCTCTTTCCAGCTCTCCCAGGTCTTTGAAGAGAAGAATTCCCTCTCGCTCCAGCTACGAGGAAGCAGCGGCAGCTTGCGGGAGAGCCAGCAGCGCTTCAGGGACGTCCTCGCCCGCTGTGAGGCACTGGAGAAGCGGCTGCAGGAGGCGCAGACTCCAGGGAAGGGCAGGGTAAGGCCCCAAGGAGCACCGGTGGCGCTCCCCGCAATGCAGAGGCAGCTGACCCTCATCACCGCGAACCTTTGCGAGTTAGAAAGTCTGTTAGAGTTGCCCCAGGGAGCATGATGGGTTTTTTTAAAGATGGGATGCCCAGCTGGTCTTTGTTTCATTTCAGCACGAGGTCTGTCCCACAACAGAGTGAGGGGAGAGCCTGCCCTTCTTTGGCACCGCATGTGATGTGTCCCCCCCCCCCCAAGAGGTCCATTCAGGGATGGGGAAGGCGCTGGCTGTGATCCCAGGAAGTTATCAGCCATGAGAAAAAAGACTGAGAGGGTGGTGCCTCTGTAGTCTTGCAAACGCTCAGGGCACCCACTTCCAGGTCAGCAGGGCTGACATTCAAGAATTCTGGGAGCAGTAGACCCCCTCCATGGCCCCCCAAACCCTGGACAATCCAAGGTGTGGCTCAGTTTCACACCTTGAATCCTTTGCCCTTTCCTGCACCTCTTTGAGCCCTACGGTTTTTCTTTGGGAATCTGACGGTGAGCAGAACTCTTATGTGGGATCCTTTGAAAGGAAGGCTCTCCTGACCGAGCATCGCAGCCCTCCCTTCCCGTCCTTGCGCCTGGCAGTCTGGCGGCCCTTGCTGAGCTCTCCCTCTGGCTGCCATTGAGGCTCCCATCAGAGAGTCTGCGTGGAGGTCGGCCGTGACCGGAAGTGGCCCCTTGGGTTCCTTCTGCTGCAGGAGCCACAGGGCACGGGTCTGTTCTGGAGAGTTTTCTTTGAGCCCTCACGTCTGTCCTCTTGTCCCAGGCGTCTCCCCCGACAGATGCGGCTCCCGGAGGCCCCCAGGAGAGAAGTGAGCCCCCCAGGGAGAGCTACACCCCAGAGTTGCAGGAGCTGCAGATGAAGTGAGTGCTGGTGGGCCCACCAAAGGGTCGTCGGGATGGACGGAGCCTTTGGGAGATCCTGTCCTTGGCATTTCCCGCGAGGGCCTAAACAGAGACACGGGATCGTTCCTTTAGCCTCTGTTTGGGGTGCTCTGCGGTCCCCGCCACCCCTTTATGTCATTAAAGCAAAAAAGCAAAGCGTGCTGCTTATATAGAGCCCTAGAGTGCTTAAAGCACTCTCTGGGTGGTTTACAACATAGTTATGCAGGCTACACATTGTCTCTCCCGCCGTCCCGCCCCCCAAGATGAGCTGGGTCCTCAGTTCAATGGTCTCAGAAGGTGGAGTCAACCTCGAGCCACCTGTCCGATTCTGGGATCAGATTCAGGTCGCGAGCAGGGTCTTGGCTGCATTACTGCAGTTTAAGCCCTGTGTCACAGGGCTCCTGACGGCTCCCGATTCAGTAGCCCAGGCACGACCACAGGCCTTGCTGCAGTTTGTCCACATCCTTGAAAAGAGTAGAGGGAAGCTTCCCTTGTCTGCCGTTCCTCGGAGAAGGCAGGCCCGGTAGCCCAAAGCCGCAGCTGGAGGTCTGTCTTCTCACTGCCACTCTCCTTCCCTTGGCAGGCTCTCCGAGGCGAAGCAGCAGCAGAGCCAGGCGAAGGAGGGCCTGCTGCAGCTGGAGGAGCTGCTTCAGGAGGAGCGGGGCCGCCGCCTGGCCGCTGAAGAGGCCTTCTCCACCATCCAGGATCATGTCCACCGGTGGGTCAGGATCACGGGGCCATCTGGCCGGTTGGGCTCACCCACCGCCTCTACCACCCTCCGCTTTTAGAAAGTCCTAGGAAAATGCAAGCAGGGGGGAGCCGGGAGGGAAAAAAGGGCTCTAAGCATGCCACAGCGTGGGCATGGTTTGGCCTTTATCGGTGGTCTCCTCGTCGTTTAGTCATTAAGTCGTGTCCGACTCTACGTGACCCCATGGACCAGAGCACTCCAGGCCCTCCTGTCTTTGGGAGCATGTTGGATGCCTTTCGACCTGGTGGACCCATCTTCCAGCGTCATATCTTTTAGCCTTTTGTTTCTGATCATGGGGCGTTCTTGGCAAAGATACTGGAGTGGCATTGCTATTTCCCACTCCAGGTGGATCGCGTTGAGTCGGAACTCTCCACTATGTCCTGTCCATCTCGGGTGTCCCTGCACAGCATAGCCCATAGCTTCTCTGAGTTACTCAAGCCCCTTCGCCAGGACAAGGCACAGTCGGTTGTCTGTAATCTCGAGCTAAACGCCACCCTTCAAGGTTGACGATCGGTTGTCTCTAACCTCGAGCTAAACGCCACCCTTCAAGGTTGATGGTCTTTCTGCTAAATGACGTTTCCACCCCCACCCGCCCTTGCCCTCCGCCCCTCCATTGCAGAAAAGAAATGTAGAATTGAGTGGTCCAAAGCAAAGCTGAGAACTGTTCTGCTGAAATGCACCCCTTTTAAAGGGCTTGCTTTTAGGACAGAGCAGTACAGCATTTCACAAGCAGCATTTTAAGGCAGTTTGAGCTTCAGTTTTGCCTTTGTTCCATAAAAGCACAAGGTAAGTCTGACCAGGCCCTTTTGGGTGTTGGGGGCACTGGGGGGGGTCATCGTCCCAGGGTGCCTTCCAGAGAACGATGACTCCCAGGATGCTCTGTGATTGCTTTCTTTTTTTAAAGAAAGAAAGAAAGAAAGCGCTCTGTGATTGCTTTCTTTTTTTTTTTTTAAAGAAAGAAAATAATAACAGAAGGGGAAGTGATGGGGTTAGAGGGAATTAACTTGAAAGCCCTTCTCTGTAGGGACAACAATCGAGAGCGTGCAGATGGGTGTTGATGGGCTGCTTGTGCAATTCTTGGAGGTTCTCTGGGGACTGCAGTCCAAAACCACAAAATGGCACCCCCCGAGAAGTGTTGCCTCTCTGCCTCCCTTGGCCTTGAACCTTGAGGAGGTTTAGCTGTGGGGCTGGCGCAGCTGCCGAAGGGGGCAGGGGAGGAGGGCTTGCAGAGGTTTCCTAAAAGCGAAGCAAACGCCCCCCACGTCTTGTGATGGGCATCCCGGAGTGAAGTTCTTGGTGGCGCTCAAACTCTAGGTATGGCTCAACTCAAACACAGAAACCTTTTAAAACAACAAAACTAGCATCTGCTTATACCCCACGGTGATCGTCCTCCCTGCGCTCGCAAATGGCAGGCGTCCTCGGCTGGCTCAAGACCAGCATTTAAAGACCGGCCAGTCTGGAGGTGGTGGGAAAGGGTGGGCTTCCCAAATGGGTTGCGGCTGCTGGACTAAGGCGTGCCTCCTTTCCGTCCACCCCTGCCCCTCACCCGCTGATCTTTGTCTGTCTCCACCAGGCTGGAGTCCGCAGAATGGTCGCACTCTGCAGAGACCAGCGTTGAGATTCCTCTTGCCCCGGAGCACCAGCTGCTGGTGGGTCCGTCGGAGAGCTCCTTCAGCAAGGTAAGGGCTCTCTCCACACACATGCGTGCGCGCGCACACACACACACAGAGAATGGGGCAGGATGTGTCCTCCTTTTCTCTCAGGGTATGAAAACAGGCAGCTTCCCCCAAGAGACGCTTGACCCCCATGGTGGGGTTTCTCTTTTTGCACCTGTTCGGAAAAGGCAACTTTTTCCTCCTCTTCGGTGTAGCCTCTCCCCATTTATTTATTTAATTTTTTTGCACGCCAGTCTGCCTGATCTCTGGTCTCTTGTTTTCTCTCCGGGGGATTGTCTTCGAAGAACGCAAACATTGTGGTGGCTCCTTTAAAAGGGAGCAGCGTTCCTCTGGCAGACGCTTTCAGGGATTGAAAGCCGCTTCATTCCATGCGGTCGTAAGAAAGCAAATCAAACCGTTGAAGTGCCATTAAGGCTCGGTTGTTGTTTTTCCCCCTTAGTTGGCCAAACAGGCCTTGATGTCCTTAAGACTCCGTGTTCTCAGGGCAACGTTTTCCACCCATCGTGCCATCTGAAGGCCACACCTGCTGCATCACTTTGCACATACACACACACAGAGAGAGAGAGAGCGAGAGAGAGAGAGAGAGAGAGCACAACTTACAGTGTTTGGAATTTGCCAGCTTTCCTTCTAGGCGGCGAGGGCCCTGGGTTCAAATCCTCCCCCACCTTGTGACCCCTCCCTTTCTCGTTCCTTCCACACAGGCTCGAGGAGGCACGGGGCTGCGGCGGGTCCTGCGTTCGCTGTTCTGTTCCCGCAGGCGCTTGCCCTGGCTGGCCACCATCTACCTCCTGACTGTCCACGCGCTGCTGCTCCTGTGCTTCACCGGCCACTTGTGAGAGACGGACGCTCTCTCCCATGGGGCGCCGGAAGCGTTTGGGTTCCTGTCGTTCCAGCCCCGGACACTTTGGCCGGGCTGCGGATGGAGGAGGATATTCAGGGGCTCCCACCTGGTTGGGGGGGGCACTCACTCTCCTGGGAGGGCTGCCAGGCTTCGAGAGGGAGGGTCCCGGAGAACGAAGCCAAGGCTCGCCCGCAGGAGCCACCGAGGGCCCGGTGCTGGTTTCATTGGGGTTCTTTGAGGAAATCGTTGGGGTTTCTCTGTTCTGCCTTGAGTGCTCCTGAATCAGGGCAATGTTGGTTCACCGTCAGAGTTAAGAGGGGAAGCGGGAGAGGGAGGCAGACAAGAAGCCGTGTCTTGCCCTCCCCTTTTCCATCAGCTGGGTGGATCGCCATCGGCTGACGAGCGGCCCCACAGGCGAGGGGCTGGAGGTTGGATGCCTGCCTCTCCTGGCTAGCTCTCTGTACCCAAGCACCCGTTTTTTTAACACTGTTGTGGGAACGAGGACCAAGTGGACTAAATCAATTCCGAAGTGGCTGTTAAGGACCCATCTAGCCCCTCCGCTATTTAAATTTTATTTGAGCACCTGTTGTTGGTGCTCCCTGGCTTAAGCTCCGGGGGTCTGAAGGAGGAGAGGATGCATTTGAAGGGAAGAAAGCCAGGAAAAAGACCCCGAAGAGGGTTCTGGGAGCCGTGGAGGTTTTCCCCTTGCAGTTCTGAGGCCTGCAGGGAAGGCTAGAGGGGGGAGTCTCCGTTAGGGGTGGAGGGTGTGGGCAGGGGGGTGTTTGGGCCTTCCTGCGAGGTGACCAGAGGCTTCCCTCTCTTCTCCGCTTCCTGTCTCCAGTCTTTTCTGGTCCTCTGGAATCTCATCCTTGTGCAATAAAGATGATTATTTTTCTGAGCAAAGAGTGTTTGCTGTGATTTGGCAGAACTTGTCCGGTGGCCTCAAGGGGGTCTTCGCAGGGTGGGGTTGTTCACAGAGGTTTGGGGGCCGTGGGAAGAAGAAGAAGGGACAGGCACTTCTTTGATTTTGAGTTTTCAAGGTAAGTGTGATATTTAAGGAGACAGGGTGGGGGTGTTCACAGAGGGAAGAAGAAGATGGGACAGACACTTCTTTGATTTTGAGTTTTCAGGGTAAGTGTGATATTTAAGGAGTGTTTTTTCCCCACTCAGTGAGTTTCTGTGGCAAAGCTGGAAATTTGAACCAGGCTTCCTGAGGCCCATTCCATCCCTCTATCCACTACCCCACACTTCCACTATTGCCGTTGCATGTCCTCGAGTCACGCTCAAATTACCGTGGCCCCATTAATGAGCAATATTGAAAATGCCTTGTCCGCACCAGCCTTGCTGAGCTCTTGCAAGCTCAAATCTGTGGCTTCCTTTAGGGAGTCGGCCCATCTCGCGTTTTGGTCTTCCTCTTTGCCTGTTGCTTTCCATTCTTCCCAGCATTACGGTCTTTTCATGGCTTGGTTTTATGTATTGAAAATATAGAAGTGCTATATTTTTATTTATTTTACTGGCGGTTGTATGGCTTATGATGAAAGGACTGTTGAAACAAGTCTAGTAAAAGGCATTTTTACCTGTGGCTTCCTTTAGGGAGGTGGCCCATCTCGCGTTTGGGTCTTCCTCTTTGCCTGTTGCCTTCCATTTTTCCCAGCATTATGGTCTTTTCATGGCTTGGTTTTATGTATTGAAAATATAGAAGTGCTATTTTTTTATTTATTTTACTGGCGGTTGTATGGCTTATGATGAAAGGACTGTTGAAACAAGTCTAGTAAAAGGCATTTTTAAAAGGAGGGATGGAAGAAAATGCTCTTCTGGTTCCCACAGGTACCAGCCGACTGCTTCTGGAGAACCTGCCCACTGGTCTCCCCCCGAAGCTTCCTGGCCCCTTGCCCTCTGGGAGACTCAGACCGGCAGAGTTTGGACCCTCCTCGGCCTCCACGCCTCCTAAGGTCGTGGGCATCGAGAGGCATGTCCTACAATGGTTGCCTCCGGCCCTGTGCTCAGTGTGCTTCCCTGTTGCATCCCGTTGTTCCTACGGAAGGATTGCTTGGGTGTGTCCAACAGGGATCATATGGGGTGGTCGCTCTGCATGTGCTCAGAGGCACACTTCTTGCTGGTTCCCCTCTTCCACCACTGTGGCTCAACATATCAGCTGGTTCCGTTCGTTCGGTGGCACTTCCCGTGCCCTGTGGGGGTCTCCTGGCGGCACCTTCTCAGAGTTTGGATTCCTCTGCATACGCCAACTGCGAGGATTTTTTGGCCTTCCCCCATCTTGCGTGATATTTGGGGTTTTTTTAGATCTGCAAAGTTTCCCTGAGAGACTGGCCTACAGGAAATGAGCAATTTGGGTGAAACAGGAACTTGGGTGAGCTCAGCTTTGCTGCTGAAACCGAGGGTTCGAGTCAGCAGAAGAAGCAGCCGCCGGGCCGGGGGGAGCAAAGTTTCCCAGCCAAGGTACAAAATCAGAAGGGGTGAGGGGTGGGGTGTATGCATGGAAGGGGTGGCCAGGTGACCCGGTTCACTGGCTAGCGCTGGCCGCTGGCTGCCTTCTTGTGTTTGCTTTCCTGGCTGCGAGATTGGTGCCCCCCAAGACAGCCCCGGGGGGAGGGTGCTGAGGCCGCTTGCAGGATAACACCCAGAGCAGTTTCTTGCAAGAGCTTGCCTTGACCATTCCCGTGTGCCCACAAGGGCCGTGCTGTGGGGCACGGGGTTTTCAGGTCAGACGAGGGCATGGCACGCTATGGGGACCTGCAGTGCCTCTCGGGGGACATCTGGGGACAACGGGAGAAGGTAGCCATGTCTCTCCGTGAAAGAAATGGGTGACCTCTTCCCCTTTGGAGGTTTTGAAAGGGAAGCCCAGTGCCCGTTTGGCCACAGTGTGGCAGCTGCCGATACCTGCCCGTCTGGGGCCTGGCCAAGGTGAGGAGCCTTGCCGTCCGGCTCTGCCACGATTCGATTCGAAGTTCGCCTGTGTGTCTCCTAGTGAGGCCATGGGGATAGGGCAGGGGACAAGCCAAACCGCACCTTGAACACCGGAAGCGGACACATCCAAAAGCTTTGAAAAGGAGGAGCGCCCAGCGTGCAAATCGGCTCAGTTGCCTTGCAGGAAGCCAGCACACCCCTGGCGGCTTGCAAAGCTAGCTTTGCTAAGATGAGCCCCCTTGAAACGCGATGAACAGCCAGCCGTCAACGGCTAATGCTCTTCCTGAGGTTTGCGCTGTTCGTTGGCTTCGTGCCCTCATTGGGAAGAGCTTCCGAAGGGCCCTGCGAATCTGGATGGATATCCCCTTGGGGAAGGACCGGTGAACCTGACAGGTCCTGAAATACACGTGCCGGTCACGGGGATTCATCGCGGAGTTTGGGGCTTGTGTATTTACAGGGGCAGGCTTGTCTTTTTGCAATGCTGGGCTTCTGGGCACCTTTCCAGTTTTAAAACAGCTCCTCGAGGCCGCACTACGTTCTTGTGTTGTGCAGATTGTCAATGGCACGCTGATCAATTTCTCCTCATCCTTGCAATGCCATGGCCGGTTCCCTTTCCTTGCGTTGCTTTCCTGGCCAGATTTGGTGCTGCTGTTGCCGGCATCGCCTTCTCTCCAAAGTCAGGCAGCCTGTTGACCAGCACACTTGGGAGGGTGAGCCGGGCAGAGGGGGACTTGTCCTTCCACCTGTGAGCATGCCTTGCCTAGAGAAAGCCAGCGTATCAGGGAAAAGACCCTGAGTCTAACTTTCTCATGTACAGGCTTGATTGTATATTCAGTTCATTTGGAGACTGAGAAACCTTTGGTCTCTCCGCAAAACCTTCTGCTCACCTCCAGGACCCGTAACCCTCGTTGGCCCCAAAGAGGCGGCCAGCTTTCGTGGGGTCAAAGGCTGCTTTTCCAGCTCCGGCCAATTCCTTGAGGTCTTTGAAGGTTATGCTTTGCTTTTTTAAAAAAAGCAGGCTTCTAGCGCACTTGGTTGTAACCACATTTCTTACGATTAAGAACCCCAGCAATCCCACCCAGGGAATGATGTCATTCTTGATTTTGAAAGGCGACAATCAATTGACCATCTTCTCAGAAATCCACTAGGGCAAAATTAAAGAGCAAATAAAATTAAAGATGGCATTTAATTCATTGGCCGACATCCTGTTCCACAGGTGTGCAAAGAGTGTGAACATTTAGGGGCAAGTGTCAGCATTTCCAGTGCACGGGGGATCCTGCGATTTGGCTCCGTGCAACCAAGTCACGTCTGGGCCCATTTCTTAACCTAGGGGAACGGACTTCGAAAAGTTAGGCTGTTGGCTTAACCGTGCAACAGGGTTTCAGAACTTCAAATTAATGTAGGAAAAAAGGCACATCATATTTGGGTTGCTACAGTGAAAGAAACAGCAGGAGCACAGAATCACAGAAATCATAGACAAGTGAAGTTGGACGGGGCCTGGGAGGCCATCAAGACCAACCCCCTGCTCAAGGCAGGAATACAAATCATACAAGATCTGCCCAATGATCACCCGCTCCCGAGGTCACTGGCTCCACTAAACTGGTTCCGCAGTTTAAAGAAAAGCTTGGATGCTGTCTAAATAACAATGAAGAGATGGACGGATGGACGGACGGACGGCCACATTCCACAAAAAATCTCCATAGTACAGGGATAGAGAATATGTCTCCTCCATATGTTTCTGAATCATGGCACCCGTTGCAAACTATTCACCTTTTTCAATCATCAAGGATGATGAGTGTTTTATTCCACCAGCACTAGGAGGTCCAGAGTTTCAACAGTGTAGAACAGTGGTTCCCAAACTTGGGTCCCCAAATGTTCTTGGACAACAACTCCCAGAAATCCTGGCCAGCACTGCTAGTAGTGAAGGCTTCTGGGAGTTTTAGTCCTAGAACATCTGGAGACCCGAGGTTGAGAACCACTGGGGTAGAAGGACTCTGATTTCACTGGTCCCCTACTGTAAGGTATGTCTAGCAGAACGATTAAGCAAACCACATTTTTCATCCAGGGGAAGCAAACCACATGACAAAGCCCAACACAGCTTGTTGTACAGAAAGGAACTCAACTTCTATACCAATGACTTCCTGGGTGTTGCAGTGGTATGCTTGGCAGCAGCTGGACTGTGCCAGATGTATACATCCAATAATCTGATACTAGTCCTAAACCATTTAGGGCTTTATATGTAATCATTAACACCTTGAAATCAATGCAGAAATGAAAGGGCAGCCAATGTAAGGCAGCCAGAGTGGGGGAAATATGCTAATATTTTTTCACCTCAGTGAGAAGTCTGGCTGCCTCATTAGTCGATGGATGGATGGATGGATGGATGGATGGATGGATGGATGGATGGATGGATGGATGGATGGATGGATGGATGGATGGATGGATGGATGGATGGAATAGAATCACAGAATAATTAAATATGACTCTAAGGCCATCAAGTACGACCCCCTGCTCAATGCAGGAATCCAAGTCAAAGCAGATCAGACAGACAGTTCTCCAAGTTTCTCTTGAAGGCCTCCAGCGTTGGAGCGCTCACTACCTATCAAGGTAACGGGTTCTATTGCTGTATTGCTCTAACTAAAGAAGCTCCTTGCATGAGTAGCGAAACGTTTCAACCTAACAAGAAAGAAGTCCATTTGCTATGACTCAACTTCCAGATATACGGCTCTAACACTTAGGAAGTTTTTTCTGATACTCACTTTTCCTGATAGCCAGCCAGTCTTACAGCTCTAACACTTAGGAAGTTTTTCCTGATATTGTACTCACTTTTCCTGATAGCCAGCCAGTCAACCCTAGAAACTGTTTTAAGGAGCACCATCCTCGAGGAAGTAAACAGCCTCGGGGTCTGTTGTCCAGGCCTCAGAAGAAAGCCCCATCAATTCTACCCAAGACAAAATTGGTCCCATTGATAGGACAAATGCATGGAGCTCTCTACTCGGAAGTAAGATCCCGTACAGAGGTACAGAGAGGATTGCTGCCTTTACCTGCAACACTTTATGCATTTGATAAACCCATTCAGTTCAGTGGACTTGAGTGAGAAGGTCAGAAGAACCTGCACCGGGTTAGAGCAGAGGCTCATAAAGTCATGCAATCCGTGGGACTTTCGCTCCCACAGTAGGTCTCTGGCGCGAAGCCCAGAAACGTGGTTAAGGTCTGGAGGCCTCTTACCTATTGCATTGATGAAAATAATAGTATCTGTCTCTAGTCTACTGTCAATAAATTACATCAGTTTAGCTGGTAAAGCTCAAGGGAGGGGCAACTGGCTTCTAACTGATTAAAAAGTACAAATTCTGATGAAGGCATTAAGCTCCTGCCGTCACTAAGGCTTGGCTTGCAAAGCTCCCGGCTGTCAAGGTCAGAGCAAAATTGCTCCTCGCTTGAGCATTACCAGCTAAACTGATGTATTTTACTGGCAGTGCTACAGATATGCATATTATTTCATTGATACAGTAGAATATATATGATTTCATACTCCTTCTAGAACTCAGTTTCTATTCATTATGAGGCCAAAGCCCTATAAAACGAACAACAACTTTGTTTTTCTTTTCTACATGCTCATTGTTAAACAAACTGCTTAAAATAATATTGCTTGTCCCCTTTTTCAATGTTTTGTATACGCTTCTTCTGTACAATATAATTGTTATTCTCATTTGTGTAACGCAAGTTTCCGCATCTATTTGGGGGCATTTCTTTGTTAATTTATATCATGGGTAAACAGGACTCAAGCGCAACATGCCCTCCGATTTTCAGCCCCGCTGGGCGAGGCTCCACCTCTCTCGCACACAACTCCACTTGTTCGTGTGTGCGCGACTCCCCTCACTGCTGTGCATGCAGGGTTCTGTCCCGACCATGGGCCATGTGAAGATGGATTTCTTTTTAAGCGTGCTGAACCTCCTTGGCCTCAAGGGACGGACCTCATTGGGTTCCAGCTAAGGTTGCCGGCTCAGTCGCCACCCCACTCCCTGAGATTCAAAGGCCAAGATCTGAGACTCGGAGGAAATGCCTTGTGATGCCACCGAAGGAAGGCCACCAAAGGCGTGGGAGGAAAGCGAGCACAACAGACACGTGCAGAGCCCCTTGTGCTGATCCAGTGCCCCTCGGGAGTTATTCAAGCGGGTGGCCATCATCATCCCCCCGCCCCATCTGAGTCTTTTCTCTTTCCTTTACACGTACCTTGCCCATCCTTGGTGCCCGCCGCTTGCAACTTTGGCCAGCCCTGCTCTGCTCTAGGGCCACGATGGGAGTCGTAGTCTGGCTCTTCCAGAAGACGCTGCCCTGGGTCTACCATCGTTCAGCAAAAGCTGACCGTCCTTTTATCTCTGGGGGTTACAGAAGGGACCAGCTCCTCCTCTGGACTTTCCTCGGGTTTAACTGGTTTTCTGGACAAAAAAGGGGAACCTTTGGGTGTCACAAAAAATATGCTGTTTGGGACGTACCCAGGGTAGTACATTGGTGGTCTCTCACGCCTGTCCGTGCTCTGCCTTGGACCGATCCATGGGAACAAGTGGATTCATCTGTTTCCTTGTTTCTCTCTCTTTCTCTCATGCCCAGATGTGGAAGGCTGCCGTTGGCCACAACGTGTCCGTGAAGGTGGAATCCCAGGGAGATGATTGGGATACGGACCCCGATTTTGTGGTGAGTTTCCCGGGATTCTCCCACTGGGATATCCCAGAGGGTCTGCGCCTCATACCACACCTTAAGTCTGTCCCAACATGACAGGTGTAGCTCCTGCCTCCCCCCCCCTTAAGATTCGGGAGGTGCTAAAGCATGGTGGTCAAAAAGAAAGACAAGAAGCTAAAGGAATCACAGAAAGTGGCCCAGCGGCATCCTAGGATATGAGGCATTCCTTTGTCCCCGTGGCTGTGCATGACCGAGCAGGCCCTTGAACCCAGGTCCGCAGAGTCCTAGTCGGGCACTACAACCCCTGCCCCATGCAGGCCGGCTCTCTCGTATTAACAAGGACCCTTTCTTTTTCTCCAGAATGACATCTCAGAGAAGGAGCAAAGGTGGGGAGCAAAAACCATCGAGGGCTCCGGCCGTGCCGAACACATCGAGTGAGTGCTATTTCGTTCTCTCTTCCCACTGCCCTCCTGCCTGATAGGACAAGGTCTGCCTCTCGGGTCTTGTATTCAAATTTAGCACGAGATATTTGGCTCTCGGGCCACCTGGCTTGCTTGTTCATTAGGACAGCCCTTAAAGGCACAAGAGATTTAATGTTATAGAAGCCGGTCTGACTTTTGCAATGTCCCTAGGAGACCATTCCAGATGTGTGTGCTGTTTCTCTGCCTGCTCCTTCCCTGTGTGTATTATTAGGTTTCAAGCACAGGGACTGAAAAAAAATGACAAACCAAAACACCCACCGAGTATTTTCTGAGGTTTTTATCTCGTTGGAATTCCAAAGGACGAAGGATTAGCAGTGAAAAACAAAACAAAAAGACAAACCAAAACATCCACCAAGTATTTTCTGAGGTTTTTATCTCATTGGAATTCCAAAGGACGAAGGATTAGCAGTATTTTTTAGGAATGGGGTGTGTGCCAGAAGAATATTCTTGATTTGGGTTCTTTTGGAAAGAGGGCCATCTTTCATTATGGGGTCCTTTTGAGAACTTGGTCTTTCAATAAACAGTAAGGTTCCAAATCTTTCACGGCACTGGACTGAGTTAAGCTCTGCAGAAGCCCCCAGACGACTCCAAAAAATCAGGGTTAAGGCAACAGACAGACGTGCGCTCCAGAAGCGGGCAATGCAACAACAGGGCCTGAGAAACAAATACCATCATTGGACTGATGCAGCAGGTCCTCTCCTCACATCACGTCCTCCTCATCATCATTACTGTATCAGGAAACAGGACCAATGAGAAAGAGAAGCGTCATCAGATTCGCCAGATCTCATGGTGACCATTTACCAGAATGGTCACCATGGAATGGATGCAGGAGAACGGGCTCAGGCCTATGATGGTTTCATTGCCCTCTATTTTGGAATCCTGAAACGATCATGTTTCAGAGGCTGTCGATCATAAAGCCACAAAAGAGTCCGGACATGAACGAAAGCGCCTCTTGTGGTTTTCCACCCGTTCTGGTTAACCCAGAAGTTCCTTCCCAAATTAGAGATGTGGCCAGAGATCAGCAGATGCTCTGGTGTTTTTTGAGACTGGTTTACAGTCTTCTGATAGTGATGTGGTTTTGGGATCAGTATGTATGGGAAACTTTTAATCTGCTTTTAAACCGTGTTGTATCTTGGTGGAGGAGGCTAGCTTGGCTATTAGAATCATGGCATTGGATGCTCGGACCTGCTGCTGTCGGGTTATTTTAAATTTATTTTAAATAATTATTGCTTGCTATCTGAAATAGCGCTAGTATGACATGACAGATAGGAAAAAAAGATCAGTCTGCAAGTTTCTATTGCAGCCCGTGGAGAAAGACAGCTCATGGAGACAGAGACAGACAGACAGACAAATGGAGGGGGAGGGAGAAGGAGAGAGGGATCCAGGAGCCAGGCTGGCCAGAGTGAAGATGCACCAGTGAGTGGAAATTTACAATTGATCTGTTTTATGTCATACTAGCACTATTTCAGATAAAGATTAAACATACCCCCACAACAGCAGTGGCAAGTGGCTGTGAGGCAGCCAGATTCAATTTACACTGACAGAAGTGTGCACATTTGCCTAAATGACCAAGAATAAATCAATTGGACATCCGAGTTAAAATAAATGACCCTCTGGTGGAAGGATAAAATAACTCACTTCCAATGTGTCACACAGTTACTTTTTTAATATTGATTCAAAACACACTAAACCTGATTCAAATATTTTCCCCCAATGTAACCATGCTCTGTGTTAATCTTCTATCTCTTGTGCTTCCTGAACCTTCGGATTCTTGACCATCTGCTTCCTCAGTAGGGCCCAACCTCCTTCCTTCCTTCCTTCCTTCCTTCCTTTTATCCATATATCTATTTTCCCTCCTTCCTTCGTTCTTTCCTTTTACAGTGGGGTCTTGACTTAAGAATGGCTTGAGTTAAGAACATTTTGACTTAAGAACCGCTCTCACAGGAAAATATTGACTTTATGCATGTTTATTTTCCTTCCTTCCTTCCTTCCTTCTTTCCTTCCTTCCTTCTTTCCTTCCTTCCTTCTTTCCTTCCTTCCTTCTTTCCTTCCTTCCTTCTTTCCTTCCTTCCTTCTTTCCTTCCTTCCTTCTTTCCTTCCTTCCTTCTTTCCTTCCTTCCTTCTTTCCTTCCTTCCTTCTTTCCTTCCTTCCTTCTTTCCTTCCTTCCTTCTTTCCTTCCTTCCTTCTTTCCTTCCTTCCTTCTTTCCTTCCTTCCTTCTTTCCTTCCTTCCTTCTTTCCTTCCTTCCTTCTTTCCTTCCTTCCTTCTTTCCTTCCTTCCTTCTTTCCTTCCTTCCTTCTTTCCTTCCTTCCTTCTTTCCTTCCTTCCTTCTTTCCTTCCTTCCTTCTTTCCTTCCTTCCTTCTTTCCTTCCTTCCTTCTTTCCTTCCTTCCTTCTTTCCTTCCTTCCTTCTTTCCTTCCTTCCTTCCTCCCTTCCTTCCTTTTATCCATATATCTATTTTCCTTCCTTCGTTCCTTCCTTCGTTCCTTCCTTCCTTCCTATACTACCCCACATTAGTGCAATGCAGTATTCCTCTGCTTAATAGCTTGGCCCTTTTTTATTCCCGTCCACAAGGGATTCTGTAGCAAGTGGCCAAAATCTGGCCATGTTATTTATTTATTTGTTTGTTTACATGCCATCTTTCTCCTCATAGAGGGTGAAAGGTAGCTCGCAACAGATAAAATTATAAAGCAAACTGAGTTTTACAGCTTCTCGGTGGAGGATGCTGCAAGAGGCGCACCACGATGAGCGATTGCTCAGTTTCTGCAATTGCTCATCGTGGTGCATGAGGGTTAAAAATGGGCAGTGAGGGCCTTGTTTTGACATTAATGTGCACCCACGAAAGGATTCAGGATGAACACCACCCCGTGTGAACCCTCTGTTCTTGTAAAGAGACCGTGAGGAGGGCTGTGGACTGGCCCTGAAGCCACCCCCCACCCATGGCGTAGTAGCCCATGCACGGTCCTGCTTTCAGGTGGGAGGAAAGCTGAGCCGAGGCAGTTCCTCTTGCATGTCACGCACGGTAGCTACTGCAGCAGCTTCTGGCAGGAAAAGGAAGTGGTGTCTTCACCCAGCGCCCTTTCCCAAATAAGGGCCTGGGTAGACCAGCCGCGTGCATGCAAGAAAGCTGAGCTTCGGGGTGTGGCAGGTGGAATGAGCTCCTTTGGACGACGTGCCTTCCGGCCCATTGTGGTTGCCCTCTCTTTCCCTGACGAGGCACCCAGAGGTGAACCCATCATCTGGGCGTCCGGCAGACCAGGAGACCCTCAGCCTTGGCTTCCTGCCTGCCCTGGGGCAGAGCCTCTCTCCTCCCATCTCACCCCCCCCAAAGAAAGTCTTGCTTCTTCCTTGAGCCTCAAGGGTCTTCTGAGGGACGAGAGGTCAACGGCTGGCTTGCTTTACCAACCCTGGTCGGGGTTTGGACGACACCTTCCCCTGAAAGCGCAGCCAGCCATCGGATCCTCTCTGGCTGAAGAATTCTGCGGGTCGATAGTCAAGGGGGAAAAAGGAACTGGTCTAAGCCCAGTTTTTAACTCAGTTCCGCATCCTTGTCATTTATAACCTCGAGTTCCCCATTTGGATCTCCGAGGATGGACTGAACGCATCCTTGCCTTCCTTCCTTCCTCCTCCTCCTTCTGGCACCCTTTTCCTGCTTTTGTTTGCTTCTGAAAATGCATGTGTTTTGTCTTCTCTCTCTCTGAAAATAGCAGTTCAGTGACATCATAAGTGTCAGGTCTTTAGGCCCCGTTTTTCTTGCTTCCTGCTCTGCTGGTTCTGTTGGTTTCACTTCGGGCGGCTTTGCTTTATCCCTGAAGTTCCTTGAGCTGTGATTGTCGTTCTTCTCCTTCAAGCTTTTGGCAACGCCCACAGTCGGCTCTTTCCATCCATGCCACCGCCTGCCTCCTCCTTGCTTTTCCCTCACCTCCAGCTTTGATTCCCCTCTGCCTTCCTTGCCTTCTCTCTCTCTCTCTCTCTCTCTGGCCTGTTCCTTCTTTCTTTCTTGCTTGCTTCCTTAACCTTGCTTCCTGAACAGCCATCTGAGCCCTAAACTCAACCTCTGTTCTTTGGGCTGCAAAATTTCTTCGCCTGCCATCCAAGCATTGGCAAAGCCGTGTCTCTTCTTATCGGTACAATATGATCTTAAACTCTTCTTTGTTCTCCTCTTCTTATACCTATATTGTTTGTTGTTCTGCGTGATTGGTCCATGGCGGCAGACCAACCTCAGTAGCTTATAAATAGAAATAAATAAGACAATAAATGGACTTACAAAGGAGTAAATCCTACTAAACACAGTAGGACCTCCCTCCCTTCCTTCCTTGTGAACAAGCACACTATAACAGACAACATGCATATATTTCAGGCTGGCTCTCCTGCCCCCAAGCTACAGCCTCTCCAGCTAGCATGCCTATGATGGCTGGTGGGTCAAGGGAGTTATAGCACTCCCTCTCCTCCTCAAAAATATTTCATTTCACACCTCCTGGAGATGCTTCTTAGCACCTAACACAATTCCATCTGGAAATAAATTGCTCCTGCAGACTGAAGAAAAGGGCAGCTTTGTGCTCAATTTTCTGTTGCCGAGTTTTGAATTTTTGGTTAGATTCTTCTAGCTGCAAAGCAGAAGTGTGGGATTCACAGAGCAGGATAGCTTCAAGTTCCCCAGTGTAGTCCACCCCTTTTCTCATTAACTGGCACTTACAGTCTCACTTTGAGACCTTAGTAGTTGTAGAAAGAATTTAAAAACATCTTCTTTACTTTGTTGAGGACAAAACAGCAAACCCCATTCCCCGCTTATAGTGTTGCCTGGGGCAAAACCATCCCATAATGTCTCCTTTCCCCACCCTTCTCTTTGCTTTGCCTCTCCAGTATCCACCAGTTAAGAAGCAAAGTCTCAGAGGAACACGAAGTTCTCAAGAAGAAGGAGCTGGAGACGGCGCCCAAAGCTTCCTACGGTTATGGGGGCAAGTTTGGAACGGAGAAGGACCGCATGGACAAGGTGCAAAGATGGGGAGGGGGGCCCTGCTCCTTGCATGAGAGGCCCAGGGCTGGGATTTCTGGGCAAAGGCTTCTGCAGAGATGCCATAAGGACGGTTGCTCGCTCAGAGCCTGGAGGCTCCTGTTTCCAGCAGTCCCTCTGATACGCTCTGCCTGCGAAGACATTTCGGCCCTAATCTCCTCCAGCAGTCCATGAAAGTCCCTGCATTTTAACGGCCAAACTATACATGACAGAAAACTCATGGGTGGAAAAGAGAATAACTTAAGCTGGAGCGCTGGAGCACTCCAATGCAGGAGGACTTCAAGAGAACGCTCTTTGTCGGATCGACTTTGACTTAGATCCCTGCCTTGAGCTGGGGGGTTTTTGGACTCGATGGCCCCAGAGACCCCTTCTAGCTCTGAGAGGCTCGGATTCTCTGCTTCTGAGCGCTGATGGTTGACGGTGCTCCCAGCAGGAAATGTTCTCATGTCTTGCCATTGCCAAAGTCACTTGGTGGGTTGTGTCAGGCCACGAAGCAGAGCCTCCCTTCCTTAGGGCCGATTTCTCAGACACAAAGCATGGGTTTGAGCCGGGGTGGGGTGGGGGCCTTCCTTGCTGGTTTGCTGGAGATCCTGTTTTGACCTTTGCCTTTCCTGGTTTCCAGAGCGCGCTGGGCCATGAGTACATCGCTGAGGTCGGCATGCACTCTTCCCAGACGGATGCGGCCAAGGGCTTTGGAGGGAGGTACGGCGTGCAGAAGGATCGAGCGGACAAGGTCAGCGCTGCATCTGGAAAACTCATGTGTTTATCGGTTCTGGGGGGACATAAAAATGTGGAAGGTTTCCTCCTTCTCTCTCTGTATGTTTCACGTGTTAGCTCTGTTCTTTCATCCTTGACGTCAACGGGTAAAATGTGTCTGTTCCCGTTGGCCATCACGAATCATATTCATGACTAGAAAATGCAATAAAAACAACTGGAAGCAAAACAAAAGAAAAAGAAAAAAAGAAAGAAACACAGCTAGGAAAAGAGGAGATTTGCCAGGCTTCATACGTGCAACGGCCTTAGGAATGAGTTCATTGCTTTCATTTTCTTGGACACACGCTTGGCAAATCTGCCTTTTAACCACCACCACCCCCCGTTTCCAAGAACCCTCCATTCTGGATTTCAGACTAGCGCCCACATGGTTCTTAGGAAAGGCTGCTCTGTGGCAGACTTGATGGCCGACCCCTCGCTGTGTGGCTGCCCCCCCCATGGCTGGTTTGCTCTCCTTTCCTCCCCTGCCTACTAGCCTCCCTGTTTTGCCTCGGTCGTCTGTGCTCGGTGTTTAGACTGTAAGTTCCTAGGGGGCAGGGGACAGCCTCCTTTTCTCTTCCTTGCGTCCTCCTACCTTGGACTGTTATGAAGGATGCTGGTCCTGACTTTATGTCCCTTTTCCTTCCCTACAGTCAGCCCTTGGGTTTGACTACAAGGGAGAGGTGGAAAAGCACGCTTCGCAGAAAGGTAAGTGGCCGGATCCCCACCGCCGATGGCCGCCCCTCCTCTGGGGTGCCTCGACTCGCCAGTCCCCACAGCAGCTGCCTTTCAGCCACCTCAGTGGCCTCCTCCCAGGTAGTGCCCCAAGGCGGATCTCATCAAGCGATTGGAAGCCAAGAGGGTCTGGCCCCACTGCTGTTTGGGTGGGAGACACACACACACACACACACCCTCTGGGGTGAGGAAGGAGAGGATCTCCGTTCACCTTGGAGACCCCTGGCCTGCTCTGCGGGTGACGCTCTGGAGGGATAGAGGTGCCAGTCAGAGCAGAGTACAACGAAGCAGGTGGAACCAGGGTCTCTGCGCCCTCCTCAGTGGAAGAAGGCAGGCCCCTCGGTCTCCAGCATGGGCTTCATGGTCTCCGGCAAAGGACGATCCCATGGAGCGCATGGCCACAGCATCCAACAGGGTGATCCCTGGGGAGGGAACAACGAAGGAAGAAGGGCAGAGAGAGGCTGCGTGCCAGGAGTTGTCCGGATCAAGGATGAGCGTTGTGTTGTGTTGCGTGTGTTGGGCGTGTGTGTCTGTAGGAGATGAAGCATGAGCTGCTGAGAGAAGGGCTTAGGAAACGGGAGACCCATAAGTTTGGAGCCCTGGGAGGATGGCCTTATGTGACTCTCAGCGACCCCTGCTGTGTCATGCAGGCTCTACCTCCGAGCAAGAACACGCCTGGCTGTAGAGTCTCCCAGCAAGCGAGGGTTTCTCCTTGGCAGACCTGACACTCTCTGATGGTGGGGAGGGGCAGGGTTCGCCACCCCCTTCCGGCGTGTGCAGATAACCACCAAGGTGGAGGAGAGCATGGGATGGAGGGGTGTGTCTGGGCAGGGCGATCCCACCCTCGAGGGAGCCCCGTGCGCTTTGCGCTCTCTCCTCTACCAGCCACGTCTGCCCCACCTGGAGGCCCAGTTTTAGGAACGGAACAGCCCGTTAATTAGTAACCCAAATGTATAAGTATGTCCCGTGCGAAATGTGCCTCATCTTTCTGTCGGCAGACTATGCCGTTGGCTTTGGAGGGAAGTTTGGAGTGCAGAAGGAGCGCCAGGACAAATCGGCCTTGGGCTGGACCCACAAGGAGGAAGTGAAGCCCCACGAGTCCCAGACAGGTAGTCCACTGCCCGCCAGTTAGGGGGTGAATAGATCTGGGATGGGGCGGGTGAAGGAAGCACCACGGCTAAGCCTGCGGGGAGAGAAGTCCTGGAAGGCGTTGCAGGAGCAGGCTGGCAACGAGGCTGACCAATAGGGCTTCCGAAGACAGTCGATCCAAAATATCCGTGGGGAATCGGTTCCAAACCCATCCACCCACCCAATCGTGGATGCTGGAAAACATGAAAGTAGTGAATGCTATATTGTGTTGTTTCTGGCTCCTTCCAGTGACTAGGTTTGGTTAATATACTGTACCAAGGAAATACACATCAATACAATAAGACCCCTGTATCCATAGGGGGTTGGCTCCAAGCCCTCTCGTGGGTGCTGAAAAGAACAGATAATACTGAACGCTTTATATAGCACGGTAAAAGAAAACAATCCAGAAAAAAGTGTTCTCACTATGTGTTCACCAGAACTGGCCACTAGAGGGAGCCAGAGACCCCGCTATGTATTTTCCAACAACAAGAATACATACATGGTCTCTGGTTCCCTCTTGTGGCCATTTCCAGTAAATACATCATGGAAATACGTATTTCTATTTTTTTTCTTTTAATATTTTTAATATTCTGAGACCATGGAGAAGTGAAACTATGGATAATGATCTTGTGGGTGCAGAGGTCCTACCATACATATTCTTGTGGGTTTTTTATTTAATATTTTCAGGCAGCAGTTAAGTGAATCCGTGGATGCTCCAGTTTGAGGACTATATGAGCAGTATGTTAATTAATAATGCAAATGTTCTGTGCAATATATGCTGCATTTTTATATTGTCAGACTATGCCATTGGCTTTGGAGGGAAGTTTGGAGTGCAGAAGGACCGCCAGGACAAATCGGCCTTGGGCTGGGCCCACAAGGAGGAGGTGAAGCCCCACGAGTCTCAGACAGGTGGGTGGCCGTCCACGGCCCTCTGGTTTGTGGATGGACATGGGTCAGAGTTGAGTCTGTGGAAGAGACCCCCGTGTGTAGAAACCCATCCCCATCGTGGCCTTTGGTTTTGGTCCAGGACTCAGGAGCAGAACGCCCGCCTTGTGCCAAGGAGATCCCAGGTCCCATTTCCCCTCATTTCTGCTTAAAAACGTCTCAGGACATTGTCTGGGGGGATCCTGGGAACAGAGATGGGGGGCACTCTTGATATATACAGACGTCATGAGGTGTTTTCTGTTGTCCCTTAGCGACCTGCAAATGTTGTTGTTTAGTTGTTAAGTCGTGCGTCCGACTCGCCATGACCCTTTTATGGACCAGAGCACGCCAGGCCCTCCTGTCTTCCACTGCTTCCCGGAGTTGGGTCCAATTCATGTTGACCTGGAAATAGATGCAGCTAAATTCAGGAGCAGTGGGGCAACGTAGGGAGACCACGTTTAAAATAAACAAAATGCTAGTTTTAAGTAGCCTTTTCTCAGCTCAGTTGGCTGCCCCAAACCACGAGTGGGCGGCAAGCAGTGTGAAGCAGCCCGTTGTGGGTCTCGGGAGGCCACCGCAGACGCATGGAATGTGGCCACCCCTGTGCCAGCCAGGGCCTAGTCCACACGCCAGGCGAATAGCCCAGCAGGCCGGCTCAATGTCAGGCACCTTCTGGGGCTCTTTGCTTCCTCCGGTTGTATTTCTCAGACTCGTGTGCCAGCTGCATTTGTCTTAGACTTGTAGGATGCGAGAAACAAGGAGTCAGAAGGGGGCCCTCGAAGGCCATCCAGTCCAACCCCCTGCTCAAGGCAAGGATCCAGACCCAAGCAGATCTGCCATGGGGTTGTCCAATGTTCTCTCGAAGCCCTCCAGTGTTGGAGGGCTCACCGCCTCCCTTCAAGTGCTCCCTTGTCTTCTGGCTTTCTCCATCCAGTTTAGGGCCACATCCATGACATCCCCTCAAGACAGGGATCCTGTAAGGCTACTCACGTGCTTTGCCTGAGGGGGGGAGAACGGCATAGGAACGTGGCATCAGCTGTGATTATAGCTGGCTTCTGGGCTCGCTCCTTCCCTGTAGCCTCCGCTGGCTGTGATATTTGCCACTCCTGATCAGATCAAGGTGGCACTTTTCGCACATGGGCCCATCTCTCTGTGCCCTGGCCCCCCCTTTGCAAGCGGCACCAGCCTCTCCCAGCTGCCAGTTCATTCATGGGTAGTTTGAAAGAGGGTTTTTCTTTGTTTTTTGGAAACAAGGTGTGTGGGGGAGTTCATATGCCATCTTTTAGGCAGCACGGCCTCCCCAAGACATCTTGCTTCCCACTAACAGGGGAATTACTCGCTGTGCGTGGGTTTGCAGTTTTCCCAAAAGATTGGTCGTGTGGAGCGGCTGTTCACGCTAAGGTCCCCCAACACAAATGATCCCCCAGGCTTGCATGCCAGGAACAGCTGGTGGGCTGCCCGCTTCTCCCCCTCTGGGATGCTGGTGCCTAGCCAAATCGTGACTGTGTGGAGGACTGTGTGTTGCTTCCTTCCATGTCTTCTCGGCTGCAGACTATGCTGTTGGTTTCGGTGGGAAGTTTGGAGTGCAGAAGGACCGCCAGGACAAATCGGCCTTGGGCTGGGCCCACAAGGAGGAGGTGAAGCCCCACGAGTCCCAGACAGGTGGGTGGCTGTCCATGGATCTCTGGTGGGCAGGAGGACATGGGTGGCTTCCACCGTGGCCACTGCCTCGCGTGGCCTGCTGGGTCCGAGCTGCTCCAGGCTCCTTCTAGGGTGAGGCCGTGGCAAGTTTCATGGAGTCACCGGCCCTTCGGATGGGGGCCCTGAACCCTCCCATGGCAAAGGTCCTCCCCTGGCCAGGTGCACCGGGGAGGGTCCCATTAAATGCCGCTTCAGGGGCCGTGAGTCCAGCCTCAGGTGGCCTTGCCAGGAGAGGCCTCCAGAAAGTGGCCACGCTGGAATGTCTTGAGTGCCATCCTTTTTTGCTGCCCTCCCTTTGCAGACTATGCCAAGGGCTTCGGAGGTCGCTACGGGGTCCAGAAGGACAGGGTGGACAAGGTAAGCCTTGAAGAGAGCAGAGACCCTGGAGAAGGGCCCTGCTGAGGGACCTCCCCAAAGGACCTCCCTTTTCTTCTGGTTCCATCAGAAACGGCCACCCTTTTAGTTTTGTCCTTCTGGAACTGCCTTGCGGTCAAGAGGCCGCGCTTCCAGCAAATACGTTTTAACAGTAACTGATCGGACTTTAGGGAGAGTCCCTGAACTCGAAGAGAGGGAGGACCGGCCGAGGCTCACATTGCACGGGTGGTGAACCCCTTTTGGCTTTAGACTGACCCTCTTGCCACCCTTGCCCCATTGGCATTCTGCCTCTCTTCGCCAGACCGCCAGCGTTTCCGAGCTGGTCTTCCAAAAAGACGAACCCATCAGCCCTCCGACGGGCAGCCGAAACAGATCCGACTCCAAAATCAGGAATGGCTCCCAATGACCCTCCTAGGGCACCTCTCAAACCTTACAAAACCTCTGGGGGGGGATGAGGCCGTTGGATCACAGCCTCCGTGGCCTAAATCAGGGGTCCCCCCCAAACTCGGGTCACCCCGGGCATCCTTGGACTGCAACTCCCAGAAACCCAGGAGGGCACAGCTGGTGGTGAAAAGGCTTCTGGGAACTGCCGTCCAAGAACACGCAGAGGGGCCCAAGGTTGAGAATGACCGGATGGAATGCAGTGGTGACCCCAAGGAATTCATGGTATTGCTGAATCATAAAATGTCCCCCCCCCCCGTTCAAATCCCTTTAACTGATCAAATCCCTTTAACTGAATGGGTTTGGCCTAGTTGGGGCTCACAATGCAAGGGAGGTCCAGCATCCTTTCATTGTCTCGTCAAGGCCTAATTAGTCCATATTCATGGGGCTTGCTCATGTCCTCCTGGGACCCCGTCTGCTCCAGGTGGGAAGAGCAGAGAGCGAAGAAGTGACACGAGTGAGGGCTCTTGTGTGTGTGTGTGTGTGGGGGGGGGTCCCAGTGTGGAGGCCGCGGTGGCGTCCCCCGGTGGAGGAGCTGAGTCTTCTCTCCGGTGGGCCTTCTCTTTGCAGAGCGCGACGGGTTTCGATGACATGGAAGCCCCAACGTCTTCGTACGAGAAGACGAAGCCTGTGGAGGCCGGTAGGTCTTTCTCCAGCTCAGCCTAGCAAGGGTGGCGAAAAGATGCACCATACAGGAGAGAGAGAGGGGGGCAAGGGAACGCCCCTTAATGTGACCGTGCCCCCCCAAAGGGTTCTTGAGCAGTGTTATGAACCTGGTGGTGGTGGTGGACGTGGTGGGGGAATCTGGGCTTTCGTCGTCCAAAAAAGAAGAGCATGTTTCCCTAGCCTGCCTTCTGTCCTTCTAAGTCACCTTTTTGGTCCAGAAGTGGGTTCAGTAGAGCTCTCGTGGCACCCACCGCCCAGCCTTCCCCTCTCCGTCTTTCCCAACCTCTGTGGTCAACGCCACCTCCCCATCCTTGTGAACAGCTTCCAGTGGGGCGGGCGGCCTCAGGCAGCGGTTTGAGAACATGGCCAAGTCGGCCGAGGAGGACAACCGGAGGCGGGCCGAGGAAGAGCGAGGGCGACGCCAAGCCCGGGACCAGCGAGAGCGCCAGGCGGCCCGGGAGCAGCAGAAGGTGAGGGTCCCAATCCTGTGGGTCTTCTGGGGCTGATCTCCGGTTGCGTGGCTTTCTGGGCCTTGAGGATTTTATACCTTACGAGCAGCTCCTCCTTCGGAGGCTGTTTGCCCCAACGCAGCCCTCACCTGCAGCCGGGACCATTTAGGGACCATCGATGGTACTTTCATTCATGACATGGCACACAAGACCAGACTTTGGGGGGGGGGAAGTGACTTTCTTGTATGGCAGGGTCTTTTTTGAGGGATGGGGAGGTGAGGGATGGTCCTTGTCCTTAAAAACAGCCTTTCCCCGAGGTTCTTCTTCCGGGCTGTACAACCAGCTGGCCTCCCCACCTCCCTGCAGAGTCTTCCTGTGAGACACCGGGGAGACGTTTAGGGTGGAACGTCTGGTCCAGGTTCTTGGTCAGAACATTTACAAGCAACCCCCCAGGCCTTGGACCAAACGGGAGAGCTCCTTCCATGCGCCGGTTACACTGACTCCATGAAATGAGAGCTCTTTCCGCCGCCGGGTTGCAGAATCCGGCTGCGGAGCTCCAAACCCCTGTTGTGCCTTCTCAGCGAAGAGCCCGTCAAGATGACCCAGAGCACGCATGGCTTGTGGGGATGATGGGTTCTGCCCCCCTGGGGAAGCTGCTCATGGGCCCCCGAGGGTCTCCAGAAAGAGGGCGCGCTTCCTAGAAAAAGTTGCGGAGTTTGTGATGCCCACATTGAGGAACAGCTGGAGAGCTCAGGGGTAGAGGTCTCTGGCTGGGGAGCCAGAGGGGTTGGGAGTTCGATTCCCCTAATGGGCCTCTTGGACAGGGGCTGGAAGTGAAGGATCCACAGGGCCCCTTCCAGCTCTGCATAATGGGCCTCTTGGACAGGCGCTGGAAGTGAAGGATCCACAAGGCCACTTCCAGCTCTCCAGTTCTAAGATGATGATGATGATGATCACAACAATGATGTACAGCTCAATGATTTAGGTCTCTGGCTGCACAGCCAGAGGTTGGGAGTTCGATCCCCCCACTTTGTGCCTCCTTGACATGGGCTGGACTAGATGATCTCAAAGGATCCCTTCCAGCTCCGCAGTTCTAAGATGAGGATGAGGATTGTAGGATTTGCATACTTTTTCCAAGCTGTGCTTGGAAAAAGTATGCAAATCCTAGAATCATCATCATGGTCTGCTGTGAGAACAGGCTGGTTTGCCTCTTCTGCCAGCGATCAGATGAATGAATGAATGAATGAATGAATGAATGGATGGATGGATGGATGGATGGATAGATAAAGAAAGAAAGAAAGAAAGAAAGAAAGAAAGAAAGAAAGAAAGCCTGTTCCGAAAGCATTCCTAGCCACGCTTTTCTGGGTCCCTGTCAGGGGTCACTCCCTTTTAAGGTCATTTAATAAGCAGAAATAGGGTCAGAACCCTGAAGGTAGTTTTTCAGCTGCTGTCACGTAGAGAGGAAGAGAACTTTTACAAGGACGAGTGCAAAGAACAACAAGAGGGGGAAAAAGAAGAGATCTTATCCAGAAGATTCAAGAACTCAAAGGGAAATTTAAGTCTACCTTAGGGGTGCAGAACAACCAGCGGGGGGAGGGGGGGACACATGGTCTGACTAGGAAAAAATGAAGAGAAGGTGGAAACAGCATGCTGAAGATCTGTACTGAAGGGATCAAAGGATGTCAGACTCCTTTGAAGAGGAACCCTAGCATGAAGAACCTTCAGTTCTAGAAAGTGAAGTGAAAGCTGCTCTGAAAGCAACAGGAAGAAATACAGAGCAGAAACTAGGAAGGAAAATGGAGGCAACAGTGGTTATCATAAACCAGTTACGGCAACCTTGATGAGCTGCACTTTTCAGAGAAAATTTAAAAATTTGAAAGGCTGCATCCTGGAAGTGGGAAGAAACAGGTGGGCCAAGGAGGGGGACTAACTTTTTTTTCTTTACAGCTTTCCTTGGCTGTAAAGGACGACACGGCATACCAGCTCTCTCGTGGGCCTTAAGTGACCCCATTTTGCCCCAGCCCACTCTGAGTGAGCCCGCTCTGTAGCCAGTCCCTGTGTACGGGATTCTGCGGTTAGTTGTGCAGCCGTTTCGGAGGTAACGGGACAGTTGGCCTAAGAAGCCATCCCCAAGCACGGAATGACCAACTGCTGTCTTTTTTTTAAAAAAAGGAAAAGGACGAGAAACAGCCTAAAGAAACACGTCAAAATGAAGACACGGCCAAGGAAGATTCGGCTTGCAAACTCCCACTGGCGCCCGTCGTGGTTCACCCAGAAGCCAGGTTGCCCTCGGCGCTCCCAGTTCACCAGGTAAGAGGAAAGGTGGTCTTACTGCCCAAGCAGTACTTAAGCTGATGGAAACAATTTTCTTTGCCACCAGTGGATAACCCCCCCCCTCACGTGAAGAACCCTAGTAAGGGCACCGAGGATGCTTACTGGGGGCTCCCAGGTCACGGGCCACAGCCGATTGGCAGCCAGCTCCCATCCTGCAGTTGGGCAAAGCGGGCCCTGTCTTGCACTATGCTCACGGATGCCCCCAAGAGAGGTGTTCGTCTTCCGAGATCCACGTTCACACCATCAGTAGGGTCACCCTGAGGTAGCATGAAAGCGGGAGGTGGAAAGAGGCAAACCAACACAGATGCCGAAATCTTTGAGTGCCTTTTCTCTACCTTGTATTATTCACTTGCAGTTTCCAATTTTTATTTATTTATTTGGTTGTTTTAAAATGTTCTGCTTGTCCTCACCCTCCGTGTACAGTGGAGCCCCTGTATCCGTGAGGGGAGAGTTCCAAGCCCTTCCGGCGGATGCTGAAAAATGTGGATTATTGGAAACACGATGTATTCTAATAGTGAATGGTCTCTGGCTCCCCCTATTGGCCAGTTCTGGTAACGACATAGTGGATACACGTTTCTCTCTAAGGAACTTTACAGTATATGTAGCAGAGTCTCTGGCTCCCTCTAGCAGGCAGTTCTGGTAACTTCATCTTTATAAATATATGTTATGAGGGTTTTTCTCTTAAAATGTTAATATTCTTAAACTGTGAATCAGTGGATAATGATCCCTTGGATAAGGGGTGTCCTGCTGTTCTTGTTTTTTCCACTCACCTTCTCTCTCTCTCTCTCACACACACACACACACACACACAGAGCAAAGACCAAGGGATAATAACCACTGTGCTTCTCATGTCTTTCTGACGTCCAGGGAGGGGCTGAAGAGGAAGATGAGCCCCCTCCCGTCCTCCCCCCACGAAGCCTGGACCTGGATGAGATTCCTCGAGGGTTGCCAGCCCCTCCGCCTGCCCACCAGCCCCTCTACGTGGAAGCCACTGATGACGGGGGGGATTACGAGGACGTGGCTGAGCCTTTCGGCCGCCCAGTGCCCCCACCCTTCCAAGAGGAGGACGAGGAGGACGGTGGGGCAGAATATGAAGAGATGCCGCCTCACTTTGGCCATTCGGAAACCATAGACAACGATGATGATGACGAGGCTGATGGGGGCCAGGACTATGAGGAGATCCCGGACAGGGCGCCGGGCAGCTACGGCGCAGGACCGGCCTCTTCAGGTGAGGGAAAGGAGGGGCCGCGGTGGGTCAGGGGGCTCCTGTCCTACCCGCCTTGAGGTACTAAGAGGCACTAGGAACCCTTATCTTCGTTTTGCAACAACCGGTGTCATTAGCACATAGGATGCTTGATTCGCGAAGGAGGCTCACACCTTAAAGAGTTCCGCTCCCTTGTCCCAAGTCCGGTCCCAAGGATGAGCCTCTTGTGGGGAGAGGGAGTTCCTTAAGGGCTCCCACAGGGTCTGATTTTCACAGCAGGAGCTGCTTTTCTTCCACACGTCAGAAGTGAGCTTGCTTTGCTTTGTGGTCGGCCGTTGGAAGGTCAACACAGGCCTTTCCCCGATATCCCAGCCGCAAACAATTGGCTTGAATCGTGTCTCTGGGACACAAGTGGACACGGTGGGTCACCTGTAAGGTCCCTCTGGCCCGTGGGCTCTCTCAGAGAATCCATGATTCGCCTGAAGTTTGAACGGAGTGGCTGAAGCGGAAGGATCCCAGAGGAAGGGCCCTTTCTTCCTGAGGAACGAGGGCCGGGAGTCGCCTGGCTTCCCGCAGACGAGAGCCTGCCTGCTTGGGATGGCATGGGGCGAAAGGTTCCCCCTGAACCGTGGGATGCTCTGACAGGAACGTCGGGGCAAAGTAAATGGGGCGCCCTTCTTTTACCCCACGGTGGGTGGTGGATGGGGGCGGGGGATGGAAAGAACCCTCTCCCAGGAAGACGGAACACGTAGGGCTAATCGGCCTATTTCTTTCTTTTTAAGCTTTAAGTTGCTGGTTACGGACTATAAAGAGTGCTACCGAGGGACTTAATTTTGTTGTTGTTAAAGAAAAGTTCAACTTTTAAAAAAGCTTTTTTTTTTACATTGAAAAGGCTCCCTTCTGCCCTCTGGTGGAGATATATAAAAGGCACCCTCAAAACAGCAAAATTGCATGTACAGTGGTGCCTCGCATAGCGAGTTATCTATATATCTATACATCTATATCTATATATCTGTATCTATCTATATGTATATCTATATAGATATATGCAATTTTGCTATGTTTTGAGGGTGCCCCGGCATTCTGGGCCCCCATGACCCCATTTAAAAATGACATAGGTACTGTATATCATTTTTGAAATGGGGACATGGGGGATCAGAATTGTTGGAGCACCTTCAAAACATAGCAAAATTGCACCATGGAAGATGGCAGGAGATTTTCCTGTGTAAAGAAATGTTTCTTTCTAAAGTGGTGAGTGAAAGGGGCTCCAAAAGGGCAATTGGGCTGGGGGCACACGTTGTCCAGCCCTGTTTCCATCCATCTGCAAAGGTGGTCCATCCACGAGGACCGTAATCATCCATGCCACCTCTTTGGCTTCTTTTGCAGGCTCTGAAGGTCCTCTGTATGAAGTGAGCGGAGGCACGCTGTCTGCCGTGGCCCTTTATGACTATCAGGGAGGTAAGCTGGTCGTGTCGGTCTGGAGGAAGGTGTGGACACGGAGTGAGGGGAGCCACTCTTCTGAAACTCCCTGGGGTTGAGAATTTGTTAACCTTTTCTGGAGTTAGGAAATATATAGTTGCAATAACACCACAACATGGAGAGAGTAAAATTCAATATAGTAGTCTATTTACAAATATCCAGAGAGTATAGATTTCAGATCTCTGCAAGCGGGATCTGAAGGCCTTAGGAATGGATTTTCTCAAAAGATGGGAAACCTGGACCTCTGAGCGTTCAGCCTGGAGGCAGGTGGTGCCTCACAGCCTCTCCCAATTTGAAGAGACCCTTGTCCAGCAGGCTGAGGCAAAGAGGCAGTCCCGAAGGCAGCCAATTCAGGTAGCCAAATTCAGCTGATCGTCCCAGGTACAGCGAGACCCACGGAGTCAGTTGGGCTTAGCTAAGAGTGCGCATGCTCAGGTGTCTACTTAGGAAAAGCCCCGTTTCCCCCAAAAACTGGGGCCCATGGTGGTTTATAATACCATTAAAAACTTAATTCGAATTCTGGTGCTGGAGGAGGCTCTTGAGAGTCCCCTGGAGTGCAAAGAGAACAAACCTCTACATCCTGAAGGAAATCAACCCTGAGTGCTCACAGGAAGGACCGATCCTGAAGCTGAGGCTCCAATACTTTGGCCATCTCATGAGAAGAGAAGACTCCCTGGAAAAGACCCTGATGTTGGGAAAGTGTGAAGGCAAGAGGAGAAGGGGACGACAGAGGACGAGACGGTTGGACAGGGGCATCGAAGCGACCAACATGAATTTGACCCAACTCCGGGAGGCAGTAGAAGATAGGAGAGCCTGGCGTGCTCTGGTCCATAAAAGGGTCACAAAGAGTCGGACATGACTTAACAACTAAACAACAACAAAAATAATAATAGAAAATTAAAATACCATAAAGCTGCAAATGTTGATTAGTGATTTGATTCATCATGTTATCAAAGTACAATCCAAGTTAAAAGACTTTAAATGCATTCAAATGAAAATACAAATATTAATTGGCCTTAAAACAAAGAAAGCCAGAATTTCCGCTAAGCTCCTGTGAGGTGAGGCTCTTACTTCCCAACAGTCTCTCTCAAAATAAAAGTGTGCTGCTTCCATACCGCCCCATAGTGTTTAAAGTACTCTCTGTACAGTTTAAAACTGAGCCGTGCAGGCTGCACATTACGTCTCCCCCTCATGCAAGTTGGGTCCTCAGTTTATTGACCTTGGAAGGGTGGAAGGCCGAGT